TAAACCGTTGGGTATGCCTTCATCCATAGGACTGTCGGAAACACTAGTTGTAGAAAAAACGCTACTGAAGTACTCGGCAAAAGAATTTCAGATTTCGATTGGCTCATTGGGACTTTTGTTATTGTATGTTATTTCCCAGGGAATGATTGTACGTATATATGAATTTTTACGATTTGCTATAAACTTCCAAAATTTCTTTAAACCAACTTGAATTGCATTCTCAATATTTGTTACATAACTTTAAAAGTCTTTGGCTATCAACTGCCTAGATTTTTTCCTAAAGGCTGAGTATGCAGCAAGAGCTCGTAGGTCCATTATACAATTTGCATTTCTTGCGATATGTTTTCTTCCTCTCTATAGTTCTGATAGTTTCTCATTTACTAAATGGGATAGTTACACTTGATTTTAAATTTAGGTACACTTGCTTCAACTACATCTTTGAGCTTGACAGTAAAAATGTCAACCATTTCATTGACATCTGAACAATGCAGAAGCAGTTCATCCCAATTGAACTAATATCCATATAGTTAGCTTTTTGGAATTCATGAATGGTCTAATTTGTTTTGGATAAAGACCGTACATTAAAAACCTCGTAGATAAATACCAATGAACGATGATGATAATTCTCATATGACCATTACACAGTCGGAGCGGAGCGAATGTTCAATATTGTTCAAAATATCTACAACAAATCTGCGAGCCTCATGATCTCTTGGAGGGAGATATGCAACACAAATCAAAAGTTTCTCACCGCTGTCACTCTGGATGGGCACCCTAAGATATTCGGTGTTCGACTCGAACGTGGTAAGACGTTCTGAACGGAACCTCTCCTTGACTGCACACCACCACCATCCTTCTTCGAAATTACTTGCTTGATGTCGTCTATATATACTCAGTGACATTACACCCAGAAAAAATAATTTCTTCAATTTTCCTTTTTTTAACATAATGAATATATTTAAAGCATGCCGAGGCGACAATGTCAACGTTTTATCTTTGTTTTTGCTTACCTTTGTTAAAATATTATCTCTTAGTTTTTGTGAAAAAATCAGTTTCTGAGAGCTGGCTAGTACAGATATTTTTAGTTATGTATTTGCCTTTCATTTACTAGTGTTAAGCATAACAAAACGCCTCGAGTTCGGAGATGTCCAAATTATCACCATGTTAGCGACTTTGACAGGGGTATAATTATTGCATATCGAGATGGTTTGTTCTATCGCGCAATTGGCCGCCCTGTTTTTGTACTGCGATGACGGTAATGCGTGTATGGATAGAAGAAGGTAGATGAACACGAAGAAGGACAACTGTTCCACCAAAGCGTACCACAGAACTACCCTACGAGACCGTATTGCTCTATCGCCACATTCGAGCCTTTGGACTTTTTTCATGCCGTCCACGGCTAGTGCTTCCTCTGACTGCGATCCACTTTGCACCATCCGCCACAGACTCTTCCACAGCTAATCCACGAAGTTCGAGTTGCTTGGAATGAGATGCCACAACCAGATATCATTTTGTCGATGCGTAGACGTATACAGGAGTGTATTCAGCTGCGGGGTCGCCCAGCACATTATCAATTTTTTTCTTATTACTTGTCAATAAACTTTCGTGAAAATGTTATCGTTTCATTCTTGATGTAAGACTACCTCATTGCCAAAAAATCAAGTTGAAGAAATTATTTTTTCTGGATGTAATACTTCTAATGTCACTGAGTATTCATTGAATCCATTGTTGAATAACTCTCGAGATAATACTGAATTGTCGAGCCAGGTTTCCGTTAGGCATATTATGTAGTAATCAGAAGACATCTTGTCAAAACTCAAAGTCTTAGTCTATAATCCTTGTACGTTTTGGTAATATACTGATGGTATGTTATTGTACATTGTAATAATTCAATAAGTCTAGGAATGATAGAAACGTTTGAAATTACATTATTTTCGATGCTGTTACTATTTTTGATTTGCATGATTCTAGAGTTTTCGTCTTTCCTAACAAATATTGAGCCATTCTTTGTCCATATCTATAGTTTCTATCTCTAGCTGCTTGTTGGGATCAGAAAGTACACTTCTTTTCAAGTAACAAAAACGCAAAACTTGTATGTATATCCATTCTTATTTATTTCAAAGTTACACGCCCATGAATGTTATTTGAAGATAATAATAAAAATAAAGTCATAAAGTAAATAAAAACTACATGTTTCTGTCGGAGATCACAAATAAAAACGCAACTGTTTTATGATAAACAAGGCAGTTATTCTCGCGACATATCTTTGCGTGCATGTCATTAGTAATCACAATCATACGAAACAATCAGCCGTCAAAACAGCAACTAAGAATTATTGACATACAAGCGATCAAGGTCAGGTACAGCCCCAGGTTCTTATACCGTATTTTACGAGTTTCCATTACAATACAATGACAGCTGGTTATCTGGTAATATTTCAAAATTCCCCACATCGGCAAAGGACACATAATTCTGAGGAATCCGTCAATCCCAGGTGGACAGAGCCATATCCTGCATTGTTGTCCACAAAGGTTCAAGTAGACGACAGTGAAGATCCCATCAAATAACGGGAAGGACTGTCCGACAATCCGGACACTTGCATATTTTGCACTTATTATTATTCATTATAGATGATGAGTAAGTTTACTCTTACTGAATTGACCACGCACAACACCCTACAGAATGTAGCTGATAAAAATCGCGAATTTATTCGACGAACTTAGTACATTCACTTGTAATTTAAGGGCGATGTCGAAACGATATACACCCAACACTTACTGGCTGACACGATCAGATAGTATTTTAATTTTGACAGCTTTTATAGGTAGCAGGAGAAAATGTGTACACAGGAGGTGACATTTAAACTATACAAAAATACAATAAAAACTCAATCGGTTTTAAAACAAGTAAATCCTATAAAGGCGATAATACACATGCCAGTAAAATAGCATGCCAGTGGCCAGTAACGTGTATGCTAACTACTTGTCCTACGACATCCCAAAATACACATGCTAGTTTTGGATATGCCAGTCTGTGAAAACTTTCCTTTATCTTCTTTAACTCTTGGTGGTAGGTTGTTCTTAGGTTTTTTATCTTATTTTTCATAAATTTCAATGTTAAATTGTTATCAGTCATTTGCTTCAATAAAGACTTGTAAGCATTGTCTCTAGCGATTTTATTTTTATACAATGGAGATCATGTATTCCATAAACACGGATACTCCCTATACTGCATAACAAACAATAAAGTCTTTTCGTCTCCCCAACGAGCCCCGAACTACACAAATAGTTCTATAGACTGCCTATAGACTGAGAGCTCACAGACCCTCAGGATAACGATTGTGTTTGGAAACTAGAATTTTTTCTGATAGTGGGATAGTGGGATGCAGTCATTGCTTTCACTGCTTATATTATTTTCTATTGTATATTATTGTATGTGATTCATGACATTTGTATTGAAGAATATTTGTTTTTATATAGCTGCAGTAATGTACCAACGGAATCCACAAATATATATTTAGGATAAATACTGGAACCAGTGGGAAAAGGGTGTCTGGGGACACTATGTGGGTCACTGACGTGATCCTGGTTTCAGTAGGCGAAATCGCGCTAGTTCAAACTATCATTTCTTGATTTGCTACGCATTGATCAAGGTCCAAACGCGAAATTGTCACATTTACACGAAAATACGGAATTTGAATTGTACCAGATGAGAGTGGCACAATCCCCAGGAACCACTAAAAACGTGGTTTTTATGCGTTTAATCAAATGTTTAGTATCTCTTTTCATGAAAGAGTACTCATATAATGTTATAATAGTTACATATGCAGAGATTTGTTGATATTTGTAGTAAAAGTTCAGAAAGTAGCACGCCAGGGGAGTATACGTATTGTTAATTTGCAAGCATATTGTGCCTAAATCTGAATAGCACCTTACTTTCATCATATGCTCAAAATAACGCAACAATTTTATATTATTTGATTGATATTTTCCAAAATTTGTCGATTTGCTCATAAGCAAACACATGGCATATGATTACTTGTACATAATCTGAAACCAGAGCAACAACTTTGTAATAAAGCATGTTTATTACTATGTTGCACAATAAAATACTCAATGAGACATGAAAACAATCTTAGTAATTCATGTAAAAACTGTAATTACTGTCCAGAATTCAGATAATGTAAATCAATTAAGTTCATAGTGCAAAACATGATTAGTAGCCGTCTATATGCATAACATGGAATAGTAATCACTTTTGAAAACTCTTTTCTGTAATCCATTGCAAAAATTGTAAATTAGTAGTGGGTTATTGGAGAAATAACACATATGTTAGCTGATAAATTGTTGTTATGAATATCGAGATAATTATAATACAACAATATGACTCATTCCTCAGAATTGTTTACTAGTGATAGCTTCTAGGTAATGATAACACGTAAATTTGCTGAAATGTATCATAGAATGATCCATGTCCAAAAAATTTTGTCAACTAAATGGGAGAGAATTATCTAGTTGACTTTAGATTAGTGAATTAATATGATGAAATTAATGTTGTTAACAAAGCATATAGGCATATAGGCCAATTGGGAGATTTTGTATAAAGAAATGCTACAAATTGGAAGACAGTAATTTTTTTCTTGGTATCACTAGATTGTTGCTTCCTATTGATAAGGTGAAATTGGCGTCATGATAGGGCTGGAGCATTTGTCGCCATTTAGATAAATGCGTTTGATCTCGAAAACCATCGATCCTATGTAAAAAACGTAATAGAAACAATTTTGTATGGATTAAATTCTTCATCATTTTGCTTCTATAAAAATGTTGTCGTATAGTCAACAGATTACAAGAAATTAAATGGTAAAAGAACATGTAACGATATTTCTGCTTCTAAGGATTAAACCAAGAGTATAAAACACTACTACTTTTTGTAGAGAATAAAATTGGGTACAAAAAAGGTCTTTTACGATTTTTCGACACCTTGATGATTCTTGGTGGAACATTCGTGTCGAAACAGTCGCGCGGCATATTCCACACGCTACGTTGTCCGCCTAATCCGCATTCATTATTTCACATACAAGTATGGAAAATTAATATTTTCGGATGTTTAATGGGATATCATACCATACCAAAAATATTTTGATCATACAATGAAGTTATTGTACATAGAGTGCGGGTATGCCGCCCGATGTTCTGGTACAAATGCTTGACTTTCGCTCTATATATACATCACCATCAGAGTGGTATAACATGTTATTTTCTAGAAAACAGGTTAGTAGACTTTATACGTAGTCGTGCCATAAGTTCTGTCCCATGATAATCTCATGATAAAAATGAAACAAGATAAGATATATTTATATGAAAGATATTATTTATTCGACAACATTTTTAGAATTCATAATCAAACAGTTTTATTCAAAATGTCCCCCCTTGGCCTTCACACACTGCTTCAATCTCGCGGGCCACTCATCTATCACTGCACGCACAGCTTCCAAAGGAATAGCTGCCGCTGATCGGATCAAATCCGCTTTCAGGGACTCGATATTACGGTGGGCTTTGGAGCAGGCCAACTGCTCTAGCAGGTCCCACAACTTGTAGTCTAAAGGATTGAGGTCCGGACTCCCTGAGGGCCAATCTTCCGCAGCAATGAACTCTGGCACATTGCTTTCCAGCCAGCGCTGCGTACTCTTAGCCTTGTGAGCGGGGGCGGAATCCTGCTGGTAGACCCAGTGTTGGTTGGCAAACAATGTACCACTTAAAGGCTTGACGATAGGATCCAGTATGTCGCTCTGATAGTTTGCCGCTTTTGTTTTCACGCCCTGTTTACAGAAATGGAGCTGAGTGACCCCTTCGTAGGACACCCCCCACCAAACCATGACTGACGCAGGGTGGTGGCCTCTCTCAACTCTCGGAATGATCTCCGAAGCTTCCTGTGAACTCCTTGCATACACTTTGTCATTTTGTCGGTTGAATTTTTCTTCTATGGTGAAGATTTTCTCATCCGTGAACAAAATCTTTCGGAATCCCCCAGCTGCGTACCTCTCCAAGAGCTTCTTGGATCTTGTCGCCCTGATGTGTCGCAAGGTGGCCGTAAGTCGCTGGCCCGTACGTCTCCGGTAAGCCCCTAGCCCTAGGTCTTGTTTAATGATGCGCGACATCGTCCGGACAGGAATCTTCATTTCCCTGGATAGGATCTTCTGCTTCCGGAGTGGATTCCTTTGAATCCTGGCTTTTACGGCTTTGATGGCTGCTGGAGTCCTTACTTGACGAGGTCTTCCGCTTCTTGGCCTGTCATCAACAGAGGACGTCTCATTGTACCGCTGAATGGTCCTAGACACAAATTTACGCGATATTTGAAGGCCGCGTAAGAGTTCAAAAATCTGACTAGCACTGTGATTACACTTATGTAAAGCTATCACTGCAATACGGTTCTCTGCCTTGCCCCACTCCATCGTTATGCTTCGAGAGATCAATACAAACTGAGGTATATGTAATTACCCGAAAAGCGCTTAATCAACTGACACCACAATGTAAACAATCGGACAAGTATTAACAGGTCTACACTTGTTTGAAAGCGAGGGACAGAACTTATGGCATGACTACGTACACTTAGGTTGTTACATTTACCTACCACATTAGCTACTTGTGACCTGTTGACTATGTGAAAAATTTTTAAGGAAGTGAAATGATAATGAATTTAATTCCCTAGAAAACTGTCTCTATTACTTTTTTGCATTAGGAAGCAATAATCTAATAATCTAATTTAACCCCTACTGAGCGGGGCCTCGGGAAATGCTTGTTCCGGAAGGTGTTGTATTCAATATACAACTGCTTCCCATTCACGTGATTGTACACGCGTTAAGGAGTACCTCAGTACTGATTATCGGGTGGAGGTACAAGTTCGCTAACGAGCCACTTTAGGTCTATTTAACACCATTAACACGCAAAAAAAAGGTCGTAGGCAAGCACCAGTCAACCGAGGCGGTACCACCAGCAAGCTTTTTCCAGGGTGTCTTATAAATGTTCGCATGTTTCCACACCTAAACTACGTAGACGGTTATCTTCCAAACCAAAGAAATTAATGATGATGGATCACTCGGGTACTAAGAATTCCGGCTGTAACTCCACTCACAGAATGTCTAGGTGGAGGGTGGACTCGAGGGAACAACATCAAGATTAACAGCAACATTGATGCTGTTCATCACTACCTTTACAGGTAATTCTTCTCGGTGATTGCAATGCCCATAATGAGCTTTGTTTGGGCTCAAACAAGACCGATGCAGCAGGTCGTGCAGTTGAAGCGTTCGCTATTACCAAAGAGCTGACCCAGCCGACGACGAGCACTTTTTCTCCCGCGTTTCGTCACATGTCAGTAGCCTGCTAGATCTCTTTATGACCACGTATCCTGCCCCTTACAGCACTGCTGTCCTGTCTCCCCTGAGTAACTCAGACCACGGTGTTGTGGAGGTTAGGGTTCGGTCAGAAACCGCTGTGGCAGCAGAAACTCGCCCAGGCTGCAAAATTTGGAATTACGGACATGCCGACTGGGAGGGGCCCAGAGACTTCTCCACCTTTCCTTGGAGAGATGTTTGCTTCCCTGACGCGGATGCGTCGGCTGTCTGTTCATCGATAACCGCGAAATTATCCACGTTGGGATGGAGGAATACATCCCTCATACAGTGAAGATGCCTAAACCAGTCTCCAACAGCTGGTTTAACAAATCGTGCGACACTGCTTTCCAGCAGAAGATCAAGGCACACAGATGCTTTTTACAAAACCCCTGTGTAGAAAACAGACAAGACACACAGAACCTTCTTCCAAAAGTCCTTGATAGAGACCAGACCAGCCGATAAAACATATTGCATTTTTGAAAAGTAATGGTGCTCCTGGCTATGATGGCATACAGGCTGAAACTATAAAGCAAACTCATATTGAAATTTTAACACCATTATTACATATTTGCCATCCTGTGGCAGACTACCATGAATTCTATGATTTGTTTGAAACCTGCAATAACAATAATACAAAAATTTTGATTACAGGTGATTTCAATATACCTGGCCTCAATAGTAATAGCTCTGAGAAGGCTCAGGCCCTGCTTGATTTCTCAACTCTCTACAATTTACAGCAGTTTAATGAAATTTTAAATTTTAGAAGAAACAGTAAGCTTGATTTAGTATTGGCAGACTTCAATATTAACGTACAGAGGGAACAGAGTCCACTTGTACCTGAGGATCCCTATCATCCATGCCTTCTTATTAAATGCCCTTTTGACAATAGTATTGTTCAAGATAGAATTCAATCTTGTTTTACATATGATTACAACAAGGCAAATTTTTTGCTCTTATATGAAATGACTAGGAATATAGACTGGTCCAGTCTCCATGACATATCTGATGTTGACACTTGTCTTGATTCATTTTATGAGCAACTATATCATTGCATAGACCAATGTGTTCCTAAAAAAGAAATTAATCTATCCAATAAACCTCGTACTTTCCCAGTATGGTTTTCGCATGATCTTATTAAAAAAGTTTATCGGAAAAACCATCTTCACACTCTCATCAAGGGTGGGAAGGCCTGTGGGGACCAACTCATTGAGTATGGTGAGATTCGTAGCAGAATAAAACATCAAACTAATGAATATTCCCAGCACAAGTCTAACATTGAGCATAACCTCAATGAGGATCCTCAGTGTTTCTGGAACTTCTTTAAGTCCAAACAGGCTTCAGGCATACCTAAGGTAATGCAGTTTAACGGTTGTGACTTCCATGGACCTAAAGACATTGCCGGTGGGTTTGCTAATTTTTTTGAGTCAGTTTTTAATCCCTCTTCGTTAATAGACCTTAATGATTGTCACTTTCAGTTTGGCAACATAAACCTGAGGGAAGTCAGTGAGGAAACAGTTATAAGGTGTATTATGAAACTCAAATCTAAGAAGTGCATTGGCACTGACAACATCCCTTCTTATATCTATAAGGGATGCTCTGAATTCCTCGCCAATCCTATTGCCCTATTATATAATATATCTATCAGAAGCAACTATTTCCCGGCTAGACTTCGAAAATCAATTATAACACCAGTATTCAAGGGTGGTTGTGTCAACAATATTCCAAACTATAGGCCAATTTGTCTCTTGAATTCTTTGGCAAAATTATTTGAAATCATTCTCTATGAAGATCTGTTTGACAATGTACGGTATGGCATAGCAGATGAACAACATGGCTTTTGTAAGGGAAAGTCTACTGCCTCTAACTTAGCCTGCTTTGCAAACCATGCATTTGAGGCGATTGGTGACCACTGCCAGCTTGATACAGTGTACACTGATTGTACTAAGGCTTTTGATCTCGTTGACCATTACATACTCTTAGACCGATTAAGTGGATACGGATTTTCTAAGCAAGCCTGCAATTTCTTTTTCACTTATCTTTCAGATCGCACACACCAGGTAAAAGCCAGTAATGTGCTTTCCAACCTTACTCGGCAACCTCTGGCATGCCTCAAGGAAGCACGGTTGGGCCCCTTCTCTTTCTAATTTTTATCAACACTTTGCCTAAATGTATTAAAAAATCATTTTGTTTAATCTTTGCAGACGATTTTAAAATATCCAAGCAGATATCCTCATTGGCTAACTGTATCAAACTACAATAAGACCTCAACTCAATATGTAACTGGTTTGTTGATAACAAAATGTTTCTTAATCTTGAGAAGTGCTGCACTATAACATATGCTATCTTATCTTCAACTATTCCTTGTCCAACCACACCTTAAAGAGGTGCAAGGAGATTAAGGACCTGGTGGGTTACATGCAGTCCGATTTGAAGTTTACTACACATTATGATTTTATTGTTAACAAAGCACTTAAAAAATTAGGATTTATCATACGGAACTCTACCAGTCTGAACATCGCCACTCTAATTAAATTGTACAATGCCTTAGTAAGGCCTCACCTGGAGTATGCCTCAGTGATTTGGTCTACACTGGCCGGTTGACATACGCATACAAAAGAGATTTCTTAGATCCATTTATGTTAGAGACAAGAAAATCTATCCATATATGGTTTTTTATCGACCTATGCTTGACTCGTATCAATTCCATAAGCTTACCTGTCGCAGGATACAGAAGTCTATTATTTTTATATACTACTTAATAAATAATATTAAATTTCATAAATGTAATCTTCTGAATTTTGTAGCTATTGTTGTTCCCAAGGTGATTCTTAGGTACAAGAGAGATAAATTTTTTAATATTAAGTACCCTATCGACAATCCCATGAGTCATATGTTAATGCTTTGCAATGAGCTATTTAAAAAAACTGATATTGACTTTTTTAATACTTTTTTTTTTTTTTTTATATATCGAAACAGCCGCGCAGGCAGAAGCCTAAATGCCGGAACACCGCGGCTGCTATGATGATCCCAAAGAAATTTTGTTAATACGATTTTTGAACTGCCTAGGTTAGTAGAACTGGGAAAAGCTTCCTCCCGTAGTTTGTTCCACAATCTAGATACCCTCGGGATAAAGGAGCGGTCGTATCGGCCAGTTCTGGATGTACGAAGTTTGACACGGTTAGGATGGGACGCCGAAGACAGGCGGGTCTGTCTGGCAGGCACATCGCGCGGCGGCATCATGGAAGAGAGCTCTGAGGAGCAAAGCCCGTTGGTGTAGCGATAGAAAAGAGCTAGATCGCCGACGGCCCGCCGGTGCGAAAGAGTCCCGAGACTGTCTGTTAGAGAAGAGTCATCGATCAGTCGGACCGCCCTCCTCTGGACAGCATCGAGCATGGACAATGTAGTCGGGGCGGCAGCACCCCAAATGTGTGAGAAATACTCGAGGCTAGGCCTTATCTGGGCCTTGTATAGAGTGAGAAGGTCATGCGGAGAAAAGTACTTCTTAGCCCTAAACAAATAGCCTAGCTTTTTCCCAGCAGCTGCAGCTATTGAAGAGATGTGTTCGTGCCAGATCAGGTCCTCGGTGATCTGGACTCCGACCAACCGAAATGAATGGCTCTTTGGTAGAACTCGACCGTCCATCGAAACTGTATGAGCGCTAAGACGCTTTTTGTTCGTCAAAGTACAGTACTGTGTTTTGGAAGCATTGAACTGTACAAGATTGTTGCGTCCCCAAGCAGTGATAGCCTCCAGGTCTCTTGTCAGAGAAGAAGTCGTCGCTAGTCTTCTTTTTTCCAGCTCAGCGGCAGAGATCGGCTTGTCACTCTGAATTCCTGCATGTAGAGTGCTGTCATCAGCGAAGCTGTGGATTGGGTTGATCGTGCAGGAAAGGAGGTCGTTGATATGTAAGAGAAACAGTGTTGGAGCCAAGACCGATCCCTCGGGAACACCCGCGTTGACGTTGTGGGATGAAGAGGAGAATCCGTCAATTACGACGGATATCTTGCGGCCAGAGATAAAGTCAGCCACCCATCTGCAAAGCTTTTCTGGGAGGCCGTAGGATGGAAGTTTGCTCAAGAGGGCAGTGTGCCACAGCTGATCGAACGCTTTCGTGATGTCAAGAGCAACGACATGAGCCTCACCATGAGACTGGATGAGTTTACTCCACAGTTGCGTGACGTAAGCTAGGAGGTCCCCTGTGGATCGTTGGTGCCGGAAACCGTACTGCCTGTCGCTAATCAAGCTGTGACGTTCGAGGTAGTCCAGAAGCTCGCGATTTATACACCTCTCCATTACTTTACTTATAACAGAAAGCAGAGCTATAGGCCTGTAGTTGTAAGGGTCGGTTTTAGATCCTTTTTTTGGGATGGGCTGTACATGAGCAAATTTCCAGTTTTCTGGGAAGGTGCCGGATTCATAAGATATCTGGAAGAGACGCGAAAGAACTGGAGCAAGCTCAGCTGCACATCTCTTCAGTACAATGGCAGGAATCAAGTCCGGACCAGAAGCTTTGTTGACGTCGAGCGACAAGAGCACTCGTCTTACGGTCTTATGCCTGAATGTTACCTACCGCATAGTGTGGGGAACCCTTTGAATTGACGGCACTTGGGCGTTGGTGGGGACGTCCATGGTGGAGTTGGCAGCAAAGATCTTGGCTAGCACTTCCGCCTTGGCCTTTGAGTCGAATACAATAGTTCCATCCTGGCACGTAAGTGGTGGAAGGCTACTGTGTGAGAAGTTCTTTTCAATCTGCTTGGCCAGCGTCCAGAAAGACCGACTGCCATTGCGCTGCGACATTACCCTGTGCCTAACTTTTATATCATGCTGGGTTTTGGCATTGCGAACCGCTTCGTTATATTTGTTTCTGGACTCGACGTCGGCTTGTCTGTTCTCTACAGTGGGGTTTTGTAAGTAGGTTCTGTGGGCCTTGATCTTCTGCTGGCGAGCAGTGTCACACGATTTGTTGAACCAGCCGTTGGACCCTGGTTTAGGAGCTTTCACTGTGTGAGGGATGTATTCCTCCATTCCGACGTGGATAATTTCGGTTATTGAAGAACAGACAGTCGACGCATCCGCGCCTGTGAAACAGACATCTCTCCAAGGAAAGCTAGAGAAGAAGTCTCTGAGCCCCTCCCAGTCGGCATGTCCGTAATGCCAAGTTTTGCGGCCTGTGCGAGTTTCTGCGGCCACAGCGGCTTCTGACCGAAACCTAACCTCCACAACACCGTGATCTGAGTTACCCAGGGGGGACAGGACGGCAGTGCTGTAAGGGGCAGGATGCGTGGTCAGAAAGAGATCCAGCAGGCTACTGGCGTGTGACGAGACGCGGGGGAAAAAAGTAGGGCTCGTCACCAGCTGGGTCAGCCCTTGAGTAAGAGCGAACGCTTCGACTGCACGACCTGCTGCATCGGTCTTATTTGAGCCCAACCAAAGCTCATTATGGGCATTGAAATCACCGAGAAGAACTACCTCTGAAGCGGGGTGATTGATGTTCAGGAAGTCGATCTGGACGGCGAGGTATTCGAGTAGGTCATCCCAGTTATGGTTCGAGGGAGAGCGATAAAGGCAGCAAATAAATTTGGGTGATGTTTTGGAGTTGAGGCGAAGCCACAGAATGTCCTTCCGGTCTGATTCCAAAGAAAGATCCCTGGAGCAGGAAAGACTGCTGCGGACAAAAGCCACAACTCCCCCGTTCTTTCTCAGATTGGAGTGCACCTCGTAGTTTGGGAAGTTGAGATGGTTAATCGGTGCAGCCTCTGAGATTTTTGTCTCCGCCAAGAAAAGCACGGCGGGACGATTGGATTGCAGGTAGTGATGAACAGCATCAATGTTGCTGTTGATCCCGCAGATGTTGGAAAAACAAATTTTATCTTCGATGTTGTTCCCTCGAGCCCACCCTCCACCCGGACATTCCGAGAGTGGAGTGAGTTTACGTCCGGAGTTTTTAGTGCTCGAGGGATCCATCATCATTAATTTCTTTGTTTTGGCAGATAACCGACTGCATAGCTTAGGTGTGGAAACATGCGGACATTTATAAGACACCCTGGGAAAAGCTAGCGGGTGGTACTGCCTCGGTCGACTGGTCCTTGTCTACCACCTTCTTTTTATGTATTAGTAATGTTAAATAGACCTAAAGTGGCCCGTTGGCGGACTTGTACCGCCACCCGGCAATCGGTACTGAGGTATTCCTTAACGCGTGCGCAATCACTTGGACGGGAAGAAGTTGTATACTGGATACAACGACTTCCGGAACAAGCATTTGCCACGGCCCTCGCTCAGTAGGGGACAGACGTGAATTCACTTAAAAACTTATTGTCATTAACAGATCTCACTAGGTCTTAGTCTAAGCAGCTATTGGTGGTTGTTTTATTGTTTTATTATTTTATATTGTTTTGCCTGTGATGAATTTTATTGAAACTGATTTATATCTTAGTATCATAAATGTGATAACTTAATTTTTTTCTTTTTTTTATATAGTTTTCCAGTTCTAGTCTTGGCTCATTTAAAAGTTATATTTCATTGTTGCCTCGCGTTGTTTTAGTCTAGTTTTAAGCTGTCTTGCATTCTAATTACTCTAGGGTGTTTTGTGAGACTTTAAGCAAATAAATAAATATTTACTATTTAATTTTGGAAACTGGAATTGTCCCGAAAGAGTTTAAAACGTCAATAGATATCCCGATACATAAATAAGGGGATACTACTTCTTTTGGAAATTACAGGCCTATAAGTTTAATAACAAATTTTGCAAAGTTATTTGAAAAATGTCTTAAAACTTGATTAATAGATATTTTTAAAGCTAATAATGTATTATCAGATAATCAATTCGGGTTTCTTGGAGGTTACAGTGCAGTGGATGTTATGCAGAAATTAATAACAGAGATTGTCAATAATCTGAATAATGGCAACAAGAGTATTGCTGTTTTTTTGGATCTTGCTAAGGCTTTCGACACGGTTCCTCATGATAAGCTAATCGACATTCTTCACAGCAATGGCATTAGGGGAGAGAGGCTTATGATTTACTGAGGGATTATCTTTCAAACAGAACACAACTGCTAAAGCTAAATAACATAACGAGCAATGGGTACTGTTTTGGGACCGCTCCTTTTTATAATTTAGATAAATAAGATGCTAAAGCTGAACACAGGGGGTTTAATTATTTCTTATGCTGACGATACTGTACTTCTTTTTGCAGGTTCTAGTTGGGAGGATGTAAAGTGTAAAACTGTGTATGCTCTACAGAAACTCATTATTCTACAGACATATATTATTAAAATTATTTTTAAGAAAGATAAAACATTCCCCACTAATAAACTTTTTACAAAGGATGTGTGTAATATTAGAATCTTGTACGTGATGACAATATCTACTTTTATTTATAGAAATGAAAAATTATAGAAACAAGTAAGTCATAACTACTGTACTCGTGCAAATGTGGGCAGGCAAATAGAAATTAGAAAGAATAACAATATCCTAAACTTAAGATACATAACGCATATAGTACCAAAGATATACAGGGTGACTTTGAAGTTGAGTCATTCATTTTCAGATAATGATTGTAGAAGGAAATATGTGTATAAAAATAAAAAAAAAAATAAAAAAAAAATTTTACCTTGTTTTATAAAGTATCCTCCCGACAAGTATTTCAGTGCGGACCTGTATTTGATCGTGAGGTCTTGGAGCACCGGCATGCCGTCCCCTGTGAGGTCTTAAGTCACCTGATTCACGAGCCCGTTGTACTACATTAACAAAGGCACGAGGGGTTGGTTGCACTCGATTGGGAAACCGATCCGCATAAACATGTGCCATTTTTTATTTCGTTTAAGCCACGCAACAGACACCACTATTAACTCACGCGTTACCGACTGACACTGACTGTATACAACTGAATAAAATAATTGTAAAAACATCGTTCCAAATTCTTTCGCTTTTTTGTTTCCGATGCGATGAACCGATAAGGCAGATTATATCCGTTGTTGCCAAACACGAGCACATAATATTATTATTGAGACAGGGTGGTACTCAAACTTCCAAAGGGCTATAACTTTGTTACTTTAATTTTACCAGAAAAATGGTAAAGGAAAAAAACATTTCTTTTGATCAGATCTACTCACTGTTAAAATAAATGACTCAACTTCGAAGTCACCCTGTATAACATTCTGCCAGAACACTTGAAAAAGTTGAAAAATATTAAAACATTTAGCACCAGCTGCAGACAATATATTTTTGAGAATGCTGCACAATTTGAAAGGTTTTTCTAATGTATGTATCATAGTATGATTGATTTATTGTTCATTATATTGAGGTTGATTATTGTTTTTTTTATTGTATTTTATAATCCAATAAATAGGATTTTCTTTTCATTTGTAAGTCCGGATGATGAAAGCACATACAGGTGGTTTGAACCATCTAGGTGTATCTTTCCGTCATCAGAATATCCTTGATGAAGAGGAATTATATTTTTGTGTTATATATTTATGTGTATTTATATTTTTTTGTATATAATCTTTATTAATAAATATTATTAAATAAATAAATGTCGTGGCTAGAAACAAATATAACGAAGCAGTTTGCAATGCAGACCAGTACGATATAAAAGTTAGACACAGGATAATGTCGCAGTGCAATGGCAGCCAGTCTTTCAGGGTATAGATCAAGCAGATTGAAAGGAACTTCTCACAGAGTAGCATATCACCACGTAAGTGTCAGGATGGACCGATAATAACCGACACAAGGACTAGGGCAGAAGTGTTTGCCAAGATCCTCCCTCCTAACTCCACCCCCAATACCCAAGTGCCAACGATTTGAAGGGTTCCCTACACTATGCGGAAAGTAACATTCAGGCATAAGACCATATGATGGGTGCTCTTGTCATTTGATAATAAAGCTTTTGGTCCAGACTTGATTCCTGCCATTATATTGAAGAGGTGTGCAGCAGAGCTTGCTCCAGTTCTTTTATGTCTCTTCCAGATAACATCCCAAAAAAAAGATCTAAGACTGACCCTTACAACTATAGGCATATAGCTTTGCTGTCTGTTATAAGTAAGATGATGGAGATCATAAAATATATCAAATTACTTTTCTCATAATTGGAAGATTAAAATACTAGGAATACTTACCAGCACTCCATGATATCCCACAGCCATGGCTTGTGCCATAAAATAGTCAGACCATAAGCAAAACTGAAGGTATAATATAAACACCTCCAGGAGTTTTCACAGAACTTTGTTAGTGTTGAAGGCTTGTTTTGGCTTTTACGTAATCTCAACCACCTTTCCACTTGCCTCTCTGACATATCCACTTGCTTTGCAAGTCCTTGAATCTAAGAAGAAATACATTATCACATATGAAAATGAACATAATAGTATTCTTATTAGAAGTTATTTTTGGACAGAGAACAGGATTGATATTTGAATACACGTTTTTTGTAAAAATATCATCTAAATCAACAAAAGCATATTTCAAGATAATGAGATGTTTAGGATTACTTTTAATGAGTACTTATCAGCACAAGGTTATCTATACAATAATGTGGAATGTTTCATATTGCAAAATGTATAAAACACCTGCAGTCTCTCTTCACAACGTTTTAAATTGACTTGAATATGAATAACAGGAAAACAACAGCGCCTAAGATTTGTATTGCCATTTGTTTAAATGAACAAAACAAGTGTACCTGCTTGTGTTTCCATTTCTTTGATTGTGCATATGCTTGTTCTAGGGTTGCATTTTCTGGGGCCTTTTTAGGTCTCGAGTTCTTTATCCCTAGCGATATACCTACGGGGGCGAACCAGTATCTGAAAAGACATGCATTGATCACAGTACTACTGACATAACCTAAAATACTTACTTTTCTAATACGTATCTGAGGAGCAGTAGAAACAGGGACATGGGCAAGGGATAAAAAAGGTGCCGGTGGTCTGCATGCTGCACTTCTTTACTGGCATCGGGGGCTATATCAGCCCAAGTTACATTAGGGGGCAACCAAATGTACTCGCTCCAAAAAGTATCCACAAACTTTTTATAGAAATACGCCATGATTAAGGGTGGTTTTGTTAATTATATGAAAGCTTATCAAGAGATCTTATCACCCCCGCATCACATTAATCACGTTCTTTTTGAATTACCGTTTTTTAAAACCATCCTACCGGACAACACCCTCTATGTTATTTTACATACAGAAGACAGAAGGTACAGATTACAGAAGTGACACACATTTTTATTTTTACACAGACAGGAAAGGACGGCAACGCGGTGTGATAGCGACACTGCGACACCTGTTTCAGTTTAGCGAAGCGATCCCTAGCGATGGGAATGGCGAACCACAGAGCATATATACTGTAGCGAACTGGGAGTTTACTTATATAGGAGGTTGGGAAACCAGTCGGAGTAGCCGAATCACAAACAACGTTACGCAACACAAATTATCACTGCCTGCGTGTACCAAGGTGAAAGCCATTTCGAAGCAGGACGACCAAAATCGCTTAAATATGAACATGGAGGTGAATACCTTGCCTTGGAATATACAAGATGCGGTATTATCAGAGGAACCATTGATGCAATGTGTCAGAAAACGTATACGCTCAAAATAAAACTATTATTTGGGCGTAAAGAATAAACTCTAACGCATATCTTCAATATGTTAAAAATGGGCAAAGGTCCCACGGACCGCCCAAACCAACAAATGATGGATAGTAGGTGCGTATGTTCCATAGATGCATCTTAATTCAAGGAAGTGGTGTAACATATTGACAACGCGGCAGAATGCCGCGTCAGGATTGCTAAGCAACGTGGCGATGAGCTTCGCTATCCAGCCGGCTTATATATATATATATATATATATCTAACATATGCACACTCTCTCGTACACATTGAGGCAAATTTGGTTTTCAGTATATGTTTTGCTATAACGAACTGGATACAGTTTATGTGTTTCGCTACATTTTTTATAATTTGCAGGGAGGCTCTAATGAAAATGAATTGAAATTCAGATATTTCTGATATTTAAGATATAGTCAACATGCTTGAGAAATCTAGCACAAAGTGATATATTTATAGTTGTTGAAATGAATTGTTTTTGGCACTGATTATTTTTTCTATGCAGGTATTACAGGAGACCACCAGTGTATATGTTTTGTGATCACCAGCATGAATGAAAATATATGGACCATAAACATTATCGATTTGTTGATACAATTTTATAAAATTTTGATAAATATATGGTCAGTTATAGAGTATTTCTGTGACTGTTCTCCAAACATCAAATAACCGCAGGGCATATGGATGATCTTATAAAGCAGTGTGCTATTAACGCCGCTGTTCTATATCATATGAGTACTTATTTGACAAAATAGAAAAAAATGTCAATAACACATGTCGTTATGATCTTCCATTCAAAAAATGGCGGCTTGACACCGACATAAGTCAATCGTGTTGTCCCCTTGGATAACACCGGACTGTATCTTCTTCAGGTTCTTCAGTGATATCTGGCTTTTAAGTGACAAATGTGGTGACAATTGACATGTTCTGTGATCCTAACAAATTACAATCAATGTTTTTTTGAATTAAAACTGTGATAAGAGGTCTTATGTGTTTTGTGATAAAAAGGGTATTTACAAGTTTACAATCACACATGGTCCCAAAAAACATAATTCTGGTAAAAATATGTATGATAGATTTAAAACGACCAAACGTCTCTCTGCCATAGTGGCTGTCCTCACTTTTATCTGGGTCTGTAAAGAATTTTCTGGTACAACCGAGTTTTTCCAGTATACAAACAAGATTCTGCATAGCATAAAATATGACTAAGCAAAAGGTGTCGTACTTCTTTAATCCAGATGTAGGGAACTTCCATTATGGCACAGGCCATCCCATGAAACCCCATAGACTATCGGTGATACACAGCTTGATCCTCAACTATGGTCTCCATAAGCACATGCAAATATATCGCCCATATCAAGCTAGTGCTCACGATATGTGCAGGTTTCATTCTGATGAATATATAGGTTTGTATGTCTGAATAGTTAGCAAGCAAAAAATTAAAAAGAATAAGTTCCTCATAAGTCTATTTTGCTGTATAGAGGGGGGCTCAAATGGGCTTGAGTTGTTGTCTTATTGTAGAAGGAACTGATGTCCATAAATGTAGTTTACATAACTTTTTTGTTTCACATATCAATCAATTTTATTTGTCTTTAATATGAATAGTAATTTGTTCCCAAATGTTGTTTATCTCTTGTTGACATGCAAAATGTAAACAATAGAACCAACCCATTTTCTATTTCTGGTATTCGTTGTGTTGTAAGAATAATCTCATCAGAGAAAGCTGCCAAGTCTTAATACAGAACGAGTTAATAATGATGAGTTCCATCAATGCCCCTGTACACAGTATTATTTGTACTAATAGAATACTTTTCTATTTGCTTGAATGTAAGCTTAGCTATTACATAAATATCACTACCACAAAGTCTTTTTCACAAGAATCCATTATGTCAAACTTGAGAGCAAATAAGGGCTGGTTATTTTCTATTAACATTTCCAAATACCTCAACTGACACACTTCACTGACCGATCTGTCAATGCTAGATGTGTAGATAGTCATATTTTGTTGTTATCTTTGGTGTTATGTCTGGATTCATCCTCCTTAACGATGCTTTTATTTAGAAAAGTACCTTAGCACCCAAGAAAAAAATGCAACAAGCAAAATGGCTGCTAATGATCATGTCTATATGTCCGTCACATATCATTATTGCCAATACTACAGGCGTTAATACAATGATGTGACTTGCTGATTAGCTGTTTACCTCAAAAGATGTAATGGATATTATCGAAAAAGGCCAGACCTCATGCAACCCATTACTTCTGCATTGAATGAGTGGTTCTTCAATATATCTAATGCTGTAGAAAATATGATATTGCCAAATGTGGAATAGCTATCTATTTTTGCATTAAAGCACAAGTGATGTGATCTTCCTATTTAGAATCATCTACTATGATATTTTATATTGTTACTTGTAAAACCTCTAACTTATGTGGCTCTCTATCAAACGTATTGTAGTTGATGAAACTAGTTATAAATTATTGAAGACCTTTATAAAAAGGAAACTCAAATATTAGTAATCTTTTCCTTGTGTTTGTTTGTTTCAGATTTATTTAGCATTAATGCTACTATGTCCATAATATCCATATTACACAATATATCACAAAATATATTATGTCTTCAAGACTACATATTTTTATACAAAATTTCATTACTATGAATTCTAGTTTTCCATGAGATATGTTTTCAATTTCCTTTTGAACATTTTCAAACTGATACACATCTTGATATCATTACTTAATTTATTAAATTCGTACAATCCCTTTTGAAATACTTACTTGCTCGTTATATTGCTACTGCAGCTTTGTAAATGAAAGTCTATACTTCCTCTAGTAGTAATTGTGGCACTCATTGTTCAATACAATAAAATTTTCTAAGTGATTTGGTAGAAGATGATTTTTCAACTTGAATATGAAAATGAAAACCAAGTAGGCTATGAAATTTTTGATCTTAAGATTTTTATGTATTGTAGATTTTCTCCAGAAAGTTACACCTCAGAACATTCAAGCTTTCACAAAGCATCTCAGCCACTACAATGTTGGTGATGATTGTCCAGTGTTTTATGGCCTATTTGATTTCTGCTCAATGTATACCGGGGCTTCCCTTGAGGGTGCAATGAAGTTGAACAATCATGATTGTGATATAGCTATCAATTGGTCTGGTAAGTTATTGCTTCATTTATACTTAATTATAAAAACATATAATAGTTTGAAGTGGGAGCTTGGGTGCATTCTGATATCTCTACAGTTTGGAAATGACCTCTTGTGTTGAAGAAGTCTTGCATTTTTAAAAGTAGGGCTCTCATCTGATATTCATAAAACATACAAAACAGTGTGAAAACTCTGCCTTTTTATTGTACACTTATAACTTTCCCACTATTGGAAAATTTTCAAAACCCACAAAGTTTTTTCAACCTCGTAATAGTAGTAACCTTGTGTTCACATTTCAGAGACTGGTACTGTTCTTCTTCACTCTGTCACTATTGGGTCAATTATCAACACCTGCACAACTTTTCTTTCTTTGGCAGATTAGTAAACTTGTTTCAAAATATCATCAAAATCTGAGTGATAATTTCTAAATTATCAGTCATGTAAAGGTTGCAATTTCTTACAATGCCACCAGGTGAAAAACTTGTGATATACGAGTAGTATGTAGGCGTTACTAACGCCATGTACAGATATGTAACAACACCGCGAACCGAACCAGTCGACGAACCGCAGCGCGCGCATTTTGACGAACAACATTGCAACGAACATCACCACAAACCGAACACCGTCGTCCAACCACACCGCGCAACAAAATGACGATCCAGTTTTGATGTTTGTCGTTCAGTGAAAGACGAATACCAGCGGAAATGTATATAACAGTAGCAGCAGCTGCCAATATTTATATTCACTACGAATTATCCAAAAACAAGCGACGACGATGTCCAAGACGATGGTGGCAAACGCAGTTATATACCAATAGATCAGCACACGGTTGCAACAGTTTGATAGCGTAATTGATAATTCAACAAGTAACACGACAGTACAAAATTTTTACGAGGATGTCTCCGACGGACTTTGAATATATTCTCACGCTGGTTGAACCAAAAATACGAAGACAAGATACAAAATGGAGAGCTGCCATTATAGTACAAGCAAGACTTGCAGTCACGGTGCGATTTTTAGCGACCGGTGATTTGTACAGTAGTTTGCAATGCATGTTTCGAATTTCAAAACAATCGAAGTTTTAAAGGAAAATATACAAGTAAGAAAAATAATTTTACTTCTAAGTACATTACAAAATAACGCATGGGTGCTCGCCGAACCGGTATGCCTGTCCAAACATGTGCAACTTCATCGCGAATCATTCCTTTGATGTTGCGCTGAAAAACCGACGGAGTCTGGGTTGGGCCGAACGGCGAGCTGTAAAGGTGCGTATACATATGCGAGCCGAGCGGTTCGCGAGCCGCTTGTGAGCAACTTGTTCGGTTAATTGGGACGGGGTTTATGGTTCCAAACGAACTGCTTGTGAGCCGCTCGCGACTAGCCGCGGCCTGTCGGTTTTTTCGACGAACACAAAGGAATTCGCAGTGCATATTGGGACGTGTTTAGACAAGGTTCGTTGTTTTTCTTTAGCTCGCGAGCGAACTTTATTTTTCTTCAATAAAGTTATGGATTCATGGTCGGAAGAAAAAATATTATGTCTGATAAACGTTTATAAAATCCAAATGTAATTATGGGATCCTAAAAATGAAAATCACTTCAAAAAAAATTTGAAAGAGGACGCTTGGCGGGAAATTGCGGATGAAATGGAAACCACTGCTGAACAGTCCAAAAAGAAAATAATAAGCCTCTTAGCTTCTTTCCGCCGGGAGAAAAATAAAACAAAGCAGGGGACTAGTACAGGGAAAGGTAAATAAATGAAATAATAAGATAAATTAGTTGTGTTTTATTTAAATAATAATACAAAATATTTTTGCTAATACTAATTTAATTTTTAATTCAACTAAATAATAAGTTTTTAATTAAGTTAGTTCACTTGCCGTATATAATTTTAATCTCGATTTTAATTTTCAGGAAGAGATTAAGTTTATTGCAGCAGATGGTTTGCCTATGAAGCATTTAGGTTTTTAGAAGTCAGAGATTTGCCACGAAAAAGACTTGCTACGGTAAGTAATTATTGTTATAAATTCAAGCATATTGGTCCTGCCATTCTAGAGCTCCATTATTTATAAAATAATTAGCGATTTCATCTCTAACTTTTGTACAATAGTTTGTGGGTCTTCGAGGAATATTTCGTATAGGTACCATAGACGTCATATCTCCTTCATTTCTCCATGATGCCTCAGTTAAATTTCCATTAACTTCATAGTCTAATGTGCCAAAAGGGGTATAAATATTTGGTGAGTGTTTTCTGAGATAATTATGCAAAAGAATGACTGTCATTATAACCCACTCTGCTTTTGCAGGCTCCAAGAGCATTGGTTTTCTTAACACCCTAAACACTGCACTTGATATACCCAATGCGTTTTCAACTATGCGACGACCCCTACTCAAACGATAATTGAAAATTCGTTGAGGAGTTCCTTTTGGAAAGTCCCCAGTATAGGGCTTCATGAGATTTTCGCTTAAAGCAAATGCGCTATCGCCGGCAAAAAAATACGGTATTTGCACAGAACATCCTTCTAGTTATTCTGGTGTTGGAAGTCCTAATCTGTTTTCTGTAAGCTGCTGATATAATTTGCTTGCCTTAAAAACCCCCCCCCATCAGAAATTCTTCCTTGGCAGCCTACGTCAGCAAACATAAAGTTATAATCACCATCAACCAGTGCGAAAAGCACAATACTAAAATTGGATTTATGATTGAAGAATTCGGTACCCGATTTCACTGGTGCTTGTAAAGCAACGTGTTTTCCATCTAGGGCACCAACACAATGAGGAAGGTTCCAACGAGTTTCAAATATCTTGCTAACTTGTTTCCAAGCTGTGGGAGTCTTAGGTAGCTGAAATGAAATAACAATTATTAATTTTGACCTGTTTTATTCATTATTAGCTTATCTTAATAATTTATTTATGTAATATCATTTTTTGCGCAACTTCTTTGGTGTATTTTGGAATAAGATAAAACCACCCTTCTCAAATAATAAAAAAAGGAATCGCTAATACTATGTTAACACAATTTCATTTCAAAATTTCATTATTTATAAACTACATATAAAGTTACTGAAAATGTATTTAATAGGAGCTGGATGATGTTAACGAAGCTGCCCTATCTTCCGAACAAATGGAACAAGAGGCGATACAAGAGACACCTATGCTACCATCTACCTCCAAATCTACAAAGCGATCAAAAACAAAACAAGATAATGTTTCCTCTCCAATAATGAGTGATGCATTTCAGATTTTGAAGAATGCTGCGAAAAAAATGGACAAAGAGCCAACTCAACCCAGTGAAATAGATTTATTTTTTAATTTTGTTGCTCCAAAGGTTCAAAAATACCCCCTTCCAATACAACAGACAATTCAACATGCCGTTTTTGACCATATTATTAAAACTGAGAGAGGATTTCTTAATCCGACTTCAATTCAATCTTACAATGATTCTCAACCTACTCCCTACATACAGTCACAAGCTACCAATCATATCAATTCACAACCTACTTCTTTGATGTATTCCCAACCTACTTCACATAATCTATATTCTCAATCTTCTGAAACTTATTATTCACAACCTCTGCAAGTAATAACCGTTCCTGCAACTTCTGAACCATCATCGCTACAATCACCTGTTTCGTCACTCACATCAGAAAATTATGAAGATTTTGTGTAACGTTTTTGAGTTCTATTTTTTGTTTGTTAACTGAGTGGTGGAAATTACTTTAAAGTGAAGAAAAATATATTTTTGAATTACACACAGGCCTTTAATTTATATATTAATGTTGTTACCTTGATATATCCCTGCAATTCCTTAATTAGTGCAGCACAAACTTGGGGTACTACACCGCCAATCGACTGCTTGGAAATTCTGAATAGATACTGAAGGCTAGTATATGAATCTCCCGTGGCATGAAACCAAAGTGTTACGGCTAACCTAGAATATTAATTTAAAAAAATTGTTAGAAAACAAAGCTACCTGTCCACGGTACACCGAGATACCTATCTTGGGCAGAGATTGGAGTACGAAAATAAGTCTCCTGTTTTGAAATATGGGGTCCAATCCTTTGCAGCAGATTCTCAAAGTCAGTAGGTGTCATTCGAGTGAAATTTTGATACTGTCCTCTTATTTCTTGCGACTTTAGGTCCATTAAAACTCCCGTACCACTGCGTTTCTTGAATAAATTAGTACGCCACCAACGTCGTTGTCTTCTCTTTTTTTTATTTACATCAGCCATTACTAAAACTGCAGCACTCATCACTAAAATAGTATAATTTTCGTTTCGCGAAGCCATACTGCATTTGTCGACTGCGATGTTTGCGTTTGGTGCGCTGAATCTGTGGATCGCTGGAGGTTCGCGGAAAAAATCATTTCAACGAACCACCATCGAGCGGCTCACAAGCGGCTCGCGAACCGCTCGGCTCGCATATGTATACGCACCTTAACGCTAATCAGGTTCGCGACGGCGTTCTTTTCACTGTCTACACAAGCGCGGCGCGGTTCGTCGCGTGGTTCAGTTCGCGGTGTTGTTCTGTACATGGCTTAATATGATGCAAAAAAACAGTAAAAAACACCTACACAATCTGAAATTTCATCGCAATACTTTCTCCGCCTATAAACGTTGCTAATAGCGTTTTGACATACATGGTAGAAGCTGAATCTGATTAACCCTACAGAAGTTTTGTTTACTGTGGGAATTAGTACCTACTTTTCTAATCCACCCCGTTTTGAGCCTTTACTTAACAAGTTAAACGCCAAGGCGGTTCCATGGGATCGCTTTGTGTTTAATTTATTTCCACAGTGACTCCAGCCAGAAGTCCATATTTAAATTCATTTTAGCGTTAGATATGGACCTCTGTGGCTTGTATGGATTGTACCCTTGTACCTATAAGTTATGATATAGGAATACAAAATATAAGATAATTTCATTTATTTATGACTTGTTCCGAAACAGTCAAGGCAAAAGAGGGAATTTCCTTCACAACTGTCACAATATGTAGTGATTTTTGGATTTTTTTTTTTGGTATTTCACCCTTTATTTTTTACTATAACATCGTTTGCAATACCGTCTGACTTCATGCGATTTTCCTTCTTTTTTTTCAGTACATGTCGTTCCCGTCTTGTGTCAGCTTTTGACGTAGACGGTAGATTAGACACTTTATTTGTTGGGAACATGACTGGCTTGATGGACATTTTTCTAACATTTTGCTTGGCGTTTAACGTGTTAAGGCTTGAGTATTTGATTAGTTCACAGGGATTACTTGAATTTATGCAAAGAAAAACATACCTGATCCAAATACTTGTGCTCAAACTCAATACTGTTGGTATTACCTTATACACCTTGCCTATTCTCACGGGCTGTAAAAACCAGGTATCATGTGTATCAAAAGAGGATAGATTCCTTTATCATGAAAGTATGAAAAGTATTGGATATTTACTCCTATTGATGACACAAAATCTAAACAAAAATATCTTTACAGGAGGTTTGCACCATGCAAAGAAGTTTGAAGCATCTGGGTTCTGTTATGTGAACGACATTGTCATAGGTATTTTGGAATTACTAAAATACCATCCGAGAGTTTTGTATATAGATATTGACGTGCATCATGGAGATGGGGTGCAAGAAGCATTTTATTTAACAGATCGGGTGATGACTGTCAGTTTCCATAAATATGGCAACTATTTCTTTCCAGGTACAATGATAGTTTTACTTTTAATTTGTCCATTGTAACTCCCAAACAATTTTTCTTTGTATTACCCTAAATACTAATCCACCTTTCCCTTACTATCATTGTCCTTTTTGAAGTATTTGTTATAAATGGTTTAGCTTTTGGAAGTATATAGTAAAATTGGTATATATCCCAGCCTTTCTGTGGCTTCGCGAGAGCACGCATCAAACAATCCATAAGAAATTTATTTATTGATTTATTTATTCATACTTTCACGGGACAAGCCCAATTTTACAATTTTATTCAACTTATATTAATAAGTTAACTAAATTTACTAAAAAGTATTAAGAACCAAGTAGGTAAAATGTAATCAGAAGTAACGAATATACGAGCAAAAGGTTAGGTAACATTTTTTAAGGTTCGTTTCAGCGAATCATGGGATATATGAAAAATATCGCCCTGAAATTTGTTTGCATTTTTCAACATATTATATACCTAGGGGCGAGTGTTGAGCAAGTTTGAATGACTTGTGGCGTCTTAGGGTCGTAGGAGGATCATTAAAATCTATCATGCCCAAGAGTTCAGGACTATTTATTAGTCCAGTAATAATTTTGTGACACAAAAGGGTGTCAAAATTTTCTCTACGCTTGACCAGACTGTTGAGTTTTAGGTCAGATTCCATAACCTTGTAGTTTATGCAGTCGTTGGGGATGTTTATTTTAAAAGCTATATATTTAATAAATTTTCTCTGAATAGAATTCAATTTATGAATGTGGACTTGATAGTAGACCCTTCTAAATGAGATCTGACAGGAGATGTATATAATAATTTTATAGAAAAAATGTCTGTAAACTCTCTAGTATTTCTCTGTATGAAACCCCCTCAAAGCCTTCCTGCAGTAACTCTCTACATGTTGAGCAAAAGTTAACTTTGGATTGGACTAAGAAAAAGTCCCTAGAGTGGTGGAATAGCCAGGCAGGCCAAAAGCAGGCAAACGAGTTCATTAATGGTTCTCCAAAAAGAACACTCAACATATGATGCTCTTGGATCTGGCAGAAGATTTTACATGCCATTTCTGCGGAGAGTATGCATCTCTTGTGTCACTGCAAAGGCCTGGCAAGGGTTCACCTCCAGATATTAGGAATCATAACTCCTACATGCAGACCTCCGTGTCAAGACTATGGAGCTAACCCCTTTTCTGTAAACTGTAATATTGGCAACAAGAAGCCATTTGAAAATTTCAAATTTCTTGTGGCTCTTCAATTAACATGATGTTTAATCATCACAATTCCTGAACATCTTCTGCTCCAATGACTTTCTTCAATTTTTAAAAAATTGAACATCTCAAATGCACTTGAATTTCATTTTACAAGAAGTACTATAATATTGCGTCTAATATTTTTATAGGAACTGGTGATATGTATGAAATTGGTGCAGAAAGTGGCAGATACTATTCTGTAAATGTCCCTTTGAAAGAGGGAATTGATGATGCAAGTTACTGGCAGGTATTCAAGCCAGTAATATCAGCAGTTATGGAATTTTACCAACCTACTGCAATTGTACTTCAGTGTGGGGCAGATTCACTTGCAAATGACAGGTATTCACAAAGTTGAGAATTGTTTTTTACCATAACTTATGAGTCCTGTTTTAGGTTGGGTTGTTTTTCATTGAGCACTAAGGGCCATGGTGAATGCGTAAAATTTGTGAAGAATTTGAATGTTCCCACACTGGTAGTTGGTGGTGGAGGCTATACCCTTCGGAATGTTGCCAGATGTTGGACTTATGAGACCTCCCTATTAGTTGATGAACAAATCTCGAACGAGCTACCTTTCACTGAATACCTGGAATTTTTTGCACCAGATTTCACTCTGCATCCTGAGGTAGTCACCAGGCAGGAAAATGCCAATAGTAAGCAATATCTGGAGGCAATCACCAAGTAAGTTTGATATTTTCTGACATAACATGCCTTGTTTGTTAAAAAATATTCATGGTATTTTTCTATGTTTTGAGGCTGCCACATTGCATTTTATACAGGTATACTTATGATAACTTGAAGATGTGCCAGCACTCTCCAAGTGTTCAAATGCATGATGTCCCAGGACCTGCAATCTCAGAGGATGAAAAAATGAAAGAAGAAGAAGATCCTGACGTCAGAATCAGTCAAGATTTAGAGGATAGAATGGTGGAGGCAAAAAACGAATTTTATGATGGTGATAAGGATAATGATAAGGATGATAGCAAAACATAAAATATTAGTTCGTTGTAGAATTTTTATATTTTCATGGTAAAATATTGTATAATAATATGACAAATTCAGCCAATTGCATCAATTTTGACAGTATCTATTATTGTAGATCTAAATAATATGGTGAAGTTATGAGATATTATCAATATCAATATAAGTTCATTATTACAACTATAAGTTATCAATTGCAGTAATTCATTTGACTCAGGATTTATTTATTTATCGCAAGTAAATCATATTCTATTAATCAGAATGAATTTCCTCCTCTTCATCACTAAAATACCCACTCTTCCTAATTTTCTTTTTTGAACTTATCCTGTTGCCATCTTCATCATAATTTCCTGTTGCCACTTTGTACCTGTATTGTTCTAACTCAATTTTTTCTTGCTACAAATGAAAATATATTGTGATTCAGATTGAACTGCACCCATACTACATAACTTAAAACGTGACATTACATGGATTTTGTATAACATTGTGTATGTTTTTTCTATAGAATGTGACCTTTGAACTAGCTGATATTCACTTCATGCTCACTTTTAGTAGATCTGGAATGATCTAGCGGATATTAGTGGCTACCTAGTGCACAAGTTGAAATTTTACCGATGTTTTACAATATAGGTTTTTTACGTAATAACCCTGAGGCAACGATGTCCACTTTTGCTCCCACTAGGAGGCGCTTTTGTGGTTGGTGGTCGAGTTGACCAAAATAGAACGGAAAAAGACAGTTTTGATATAAAAAGTAACCTGTTTTTCACAACATCACGTTATGACGTCTATATCATGGTCATGACCCACAACCTAACTGGCACCCTCCTGGCTTTCTAGATTACCACCCACTGGCAGTTTGAGAATTTCAAATAATTATAAACCTAGTGCTCAGTCAAATCGACAATCCTGAAGTAAATGAGCATTAATAATAATAATTATTTTTAAAGATACAAAAATGAAAGTATGTAGATATATTACAAAAATATGCAATGTATGACGTATACATTTGTTTATGCCACTTTCTGTTTAGCAGGAAATGACTTTGTTAGTCACGCGGTATATTTTTGCTTATGTGAATAGAAAATGACATTCCGAGTACAATAACGCTGCATTTGCTACCTTTTGACATCTAACACACAAATATTTGTATTTTTAATTTTCAATCCATTGTGCCATGGATGTGATAAAATGGTAAATTTTGGACTAAACAGTCAAAGAAAAATAGATTTGATTGTCTTGTTGTTTATTGCCTCTTCAGGCTCGTTTGAAGTTTGCAAAATCGTATTTATGGTCGTAAGTCAATTTTTTGAAATGGACCGAGGGTGGCTCACTAGCACAGCTAAAAAGAGTATTTTTACCAACAATTTGATACCACACAAACGATATTTTAGTTAAAAGTGTTTCCGAAAAATCCACATTAATTACCTTATGCATTTTACCATAACAGCATCAACCGGCCGTAGCCGGCATCGGTAGTGTTGACTTAAAACTAAGGTGGCTTAGGAAAAACCGATATATATATATATATATATATATATATATATATATATATATATATATATATATATATATATATATATATATGGGGTGAGCCACCTGCTAGGGACACCCAGTATATTTGAAGCTCCGTTTCTCTTCAATTATGCAGTATCATTCCATTTCACATGACAGTATTTTTTTATAGCGACGCAGGAGAACTTCGTCAATTACGCCGGATATCTTGTGGTCAGAGTGGAAGCCAGCCACCCATCTGCAGAGCTTTTCTGGCAGGCATAGGACAGAAATAAGAGGGCAGCATGCCACAGTTGATCGAAAGCTTTGAAATATCGAGAGATGAACCAATATATTATTTCCAGGTCTATCACAAAAAGTATAGGAACAGGAGGAGCAACGACATCACCCTCACCATATGACAATATGAGTTGACCCCACAGTTGTATGACGTAAGTTAGGAGGTCCCCGTTGATCGCTGGTGCCAGAAACTATACTGCCTGTCGCTAATCAAGCCATGATGTGAGATATACTCCAGAAGCTCCCTATTTATGCACCACTCCATCACCTTCCTTATAACAGAAAGCAGAGTTGCAGGCCTGCAGTTATGAGAGTCGGTCGTAGATCCTATTTTTGGGACGGGCTGGACATGAACAACTTTCCAGTTTCCTGGAAAGTACCTGACATATTTGAAAGAACTGGCTTGGCCAGTGCCCAGAAAAACCTACCATTGCGGTGCGACATTGCCGTGTACCGTTTTTCATTGTACTGATCTTTGGCATTGCGAACAGATTCGTTATACTTGTTTCTAGCCGCCCCATCGGCTGGCATGTTCTACATAGTCGTGCCATAAGTTCTGTCCCATGATAATCTCATGATAAAAATGAAACAAGATAAGATATATTTATATGAAAGATATTATTTATTCGACAACATTTTTAGAATTCATAATCAAACAGTTTTATTCAAAATGTCCCCCCTTGGCCTTCACACACTGCTTCAATCTCGCGGGCCACTCATCTATCACTGCACGCACAGCTTCCAAAGGAATAGCTGCCGCTGATCGGATCAAATCCGCTTTCAGGGACTCGATATTACGGTGGGCTTTGGAGCAGGCCAACTGCTCTAGCAGGTCCCACAACTTGTAGTCTAAAGGATTGAGGTCCGGACTCCCTGAGGGCCAATCTTCAGCAGCAATGAACTCTGGCACATTGCTTTCCAGCCAGCGCTGCGTACTCTTAGCCTTGTGAGCGGGGGCGGAATCCTGCTGGTAGACCCAGTGTTGGTTGGCAAACAATGTACCACTTAAAGGCTTGACGATAGGATCCAGTATGTCGCTCTGATAGTTTGCCGCTTTTGTTTTCACGCCCTGTTTACAGAAATGGAGCTGAGTGACCCCTTCGTAGGACACCCCCCACCAAACCATGACTGACGCAGGGTGGTGGCCTCTCTCAACTCTCGGAATGATCTCCGAAGCTTCCTGTGAACTCCTTGCATACACTTTGTCATTTTGTCGGTTGAATTTTTCTTCTATGGTGAAGATTTTCTCATCCGTGAACAAAATCTTTCGGAATCCCCCAGCTGCGTACCTCTCCAAGAGCTTCTTGGATCTTGTCGCCCTGATGTGTCGCAAGGTGGCCGTAAGTCGCTGGCCCGTACGTCTCCGGTAAGCCCCTAGCCCTAGGTCTTGTTTAATGATGCGCGACATCGTCCGGACAGGAATCTTCATTTCCCTGGATAGGATCTTCTGCTTCCGGAGTGGATTCCTTTGAATCCTGGCTTTTACGGCTTTGATGGCTGCTGGAGTCCTTACTTGACGAGGTCTTCCGCTTCTTGGCCTGTCATCAACAGAGGACGTCTCATTGTACCGCTGAATGGTCCTAGACACAAATTTACGCGATATTTGAAGGCCGCGTAAGAGTTCAAAAATCTGACTAGCACTGTGATTACACTTATGTAAAGCTATCACTGCAATACGGTTCTCTGCCTTGCCCCACTCCATCGTTATGCTTCGAGAGATCAATACAAACTGAGGTATATGTAATTACCCGAAAAGCGCTTAATCAACTGACACCACAATGTACACAATCGGACAAGTATTAACAGGTCTACACTTGTTTGAAAACGAGGGACAGAACTTATGGCATGACTATGTATATAGTGGACTTTTGGAAGAAGGTTCTGTGTGTCTTGATCTTCTGCCTACGAGCATTTGTTGAACCAGCCGCTGGACCGTGGTTTAGTCACTTTAACTGTATGAGAGATGTATTTCTCCATCCGTGGATACGACCAGTTATTGACGAACAGACAGCCGAGGCATCCGAGTCAGCGAGACAAACATTTATCTCTCCAATGAAAGGTTGAGAAAAAGTATCTAAATCCTTTCCAGTCAGCATGCCCGTAATGCAGAATTTTGTCGCCTGGGCGAGTTTCTGTCGCCACAACCGGCGGTCAGAAAGAGATCCAGCAGATTACTGGCATGTGATGTAACTTGAAAGAAAAAGGTTGAGCTCGTCGCCAGGTGGGTCAGTCCCTAGTTCGAGCCTAACCAGAGTTCAGTATGGACATCATAGTCACCGATGAGAACTACCTCTGAAGGGGGATGATTGATGTTCAAAACGGCGATCTTGACAGCGAGGTATACAAGTAGGCCATTCCAGTTATGGTACGAGAGAAAGCGATAAAAGAAGCATACAAATTTTGTGGATGGTTTGGAGTTAAGCTGAAAATCCAGAGTGCCCTTCCGGCCTGATTCCAAAGAAGTCTCTCTGGAGCAGGAGAAACTGCTACGGATATAATCCACAACTACCCCGTTCTTCTTCAGAGCAGAAATCGGTCTCCCCCAAAAAAAAAGCATTTCAGAAAATTTTGTCTTAAGATAGCGGTGAATGTTGTTGTTAATCCCGCAGATGTTTGTAAAGGAGATTTTATCATCGAGATTTCGCACCCTCGAGTCCACCGTCCTTCCGAACATCCCTTGGGTGAAGTGAGTTTACGTCCGGAATTTTTAGTACTCGAATAATACATTATTTTCTGTTGAGAAGGGAAAACTTTACTGGCAATCAGTACTGAGGTATTGCTTAACGCGTGTGCAATCACTTGAACAGTAAGAAGTTGTATAGTAAGTGCAACAATTTCCGAAACAAGCATTAGCCACGGCCCCGCTCAGGACGGTTGATGTTTTTTTAGGCTTCTTAAAACATAATTATATTCGATTTTATATAAACCAGGTGACATAATGGATTTTACCTCTGCTGCAATAGCTGCACTTAAAGTCTCTTCATCAACAACCTCATCTAGCTCTTCATTACTATCTTCATCACAAACTTCACTTGATGCTGGTTTTTCCTATGGAACATTTCATATTCATGTATAATAAAAATTTTACACATTGATAAAAACTCATTAATGTTGTAATAAAGAATGTCTATTAGTATACAGGATGCCCCACGTATAACTGCAGCAATCATAGCAAGAAAAGTGACATAAGTCAATCATAAAAACTTTGAGTCATGGTATAAGTGTTGTGACGAATTCAGTTAAAATATTTTCGAAATGGGGGCACTTCTGGTTGTACTAACTGCATGCCAATTTGCTTTAGCCTCTCCTCCCCGTAGGTTGCCAGTGCCCACTACAGCATGTTAGCGCCTGCTTTGACAAACACTGTTATGAAGATTGATATAAATGCTAAAAATTTGACATGACTATGTTCCAGATTTAATTTAACAGGTATCTGGGTTAGGAGGTATTAACTACCCCCTCTAGTCCCTCTTAGCTATGCTCATGCAAGTTTTCTCAACTGTCTAACATCAATTTCCCAAATAATCGATCCCTGCAGTTCTATGTGGGACACCCTGTATATTTGTATGCTGTATTTGATTGCACTGTACCAAAAATTTTGTTTGTGTGTGTGTGAACATTGTAAATCTATTTTCTGATAAATTTCACAAAGTAGTGTATGCTTTACCTTTTTGAACTTTTTTTTTTTTTGGATTTTTTGGCTGGCATTTCTCTTTCACCAAGCAAATTTTTCTCACACTTGTAACTTAAGTGTCCAAATTCTCCACATTCAAAGCATCTGGTTTTATTTGGATATTCCTGTAATGTATTGAAATTATTATGGAAAATAATTTATTGTTGAAATTTGAATTAGATACCTACAGTTTTACACCCCACATTTAAAAATAACCAATTATAATAGACACTTCTAGCTGTAGATGGTCACATACCCTTCTTCTGATAAATTCGGCAGTCCTGCCATTGTCCTTTGCTAAGCTTGCTTTCAATATTCTACCAAACATCTAAAATAGAAATGATGACAAAATAGATTGTTTAATACTCAAGACATCATACCTCTTTATTGTTAGTTTCATCAATGCATTTCTTAGCATCTTCTAGGCTTAAGAACAGTATGAATGCTACACCTTTACTTTTTCTAGATACTTTATCTTTCATAACAGTCACTCTGAAACAATGTTCGATTTTTTATCAGCCAAAATTCAACTTTAGAAATGGGTGTACCTACAGTATTTGGGTTTTCAGTGTCAATTGAGAAAAATAGATTATTAAAAACACATGTTTTGATTGGCTAGACAATCATGGGGGATTATCAACCTGAAAATTACAGGATAAGCTTCAGATGTTACATTTACTATGTGATACATATTTAACAGGATCAGATAATATTTTGATCCTGCTTTTATAGGTACCAGGGAAAATGTGTAGCCAGAAGGGTGACATTTAAACTATGAAAAACATATAAATGTGATATAAATTTCATTAGCTAAATAAATTCAATAGTTCTATATTAAAAATAAAAGACTTCAGTTCCATCAGTCTTGAAACAAGAGAATCTTATAGATTCAGAGCTCACATGCGCTCAGTGTAAACATGTTTGGAAACTAAAAAATATTTTGATAGACATATTCAGATCATTATTTATGGTTTTCTATCTAAAGAAACAACAAAAAGTTGAAAAAGAAGAAGAGCAGAAAAACAGTTGACACAAAAACTGCCAGAGTAGTCATGCCACAGAGCATGACTTTTGTATTCCAGAATCATTGTTTATTGGATAGTAAGTAGCAGTAATGCACCACTGAAAATCACAAAAATAATACTTGGGTGATTCTCTGTAAAGTGGTAAATCCCGGTCCATGTCTGATATTCAATTGAGTATTGTTATATAAAACATAAAGGATGCTTATACAATAAGTTTAACAATATGCCTTCCTTGTGCGATTGATATAATATTGGTAATAGTTACAGTTTATTTTTTATATGCTCCCAAATATCATGAAACACAGTCCCCTGGGCTGTCCCATTCCTATGATATCCACTTTGTGATATTATTTTCAATGGATTTATGAATGTCATGCTATGTGGCCAATTGTCCTTTGAAAATGAATAAACCAAATTATGACAATTCTGTCAAATGATACTATAATTTAGATTTATCAAGTTTCTAAAATGTGTGTAATTTTGTAAACATTTTTTCCAAACAGTACCCTGTACAAATCTCTAACCTCAAATAAAAGATGTTTGCGCCGGTCTCAAATGATATTCGGCATTAAACGGAACGCACCTATGGTCAAGGTCGCTCCATTGCAGCAAGCGACTGCGCAGCGCCATTTTGGTTAGTATTAGCGCGTCGTTTCTTGTAAGAGCACGTGTCAGGGCCGTTACAGCACACAGTCCTCTGGTAAGTATTAAAGTTTATAATATTCATAATTAACCATATATGTATTATGTATTGCTCCTATAATTCCTGTGTTGAGTGATCAGTTGTGAAATTGAATCCCTAGCAGCTGTTTCGTTGATGTTGAATGATTTAATCGAAATACACAGTCCCCTGGCAACAGTCCCCTGGCCTCCAAGATGCCAGGGGACTGTAGCCCATTCCAGGGGACTGCTGATATCAGTTCTCTGTTGATATTTTGCAGTCAACGCTATTATATGTATCGCACTAAACATAAGAATTTTTTACAGATGGCTTCGAAAAGGAAAAAGTTATCCAGAGAAGAAATATTACAGAAAAAGAGGGAAGCTGAACGTTTGAGGTACCAACGAAAAAATAATGACCCGCAAATGAGGGAAGAAATGCGAATAAAGGAGAAGTTGAAATATGAAAGAAAAAAGGAAAAAGGCTTGTGAAAATTAGCCAAAGACATGACTTCACGTGAACATAGGGCTGCCTTAAAAAAGTGGAGGGAGCATTGTGCTGCTTACCGGGCCAAACAAAAGGATGCGACAGTGGCTCTCAATACACCGCGTGCAAACATGCTTTCATCTGATCAAGGGAGCCCTTGTTCATCTGCAGGATGCAACACCTCAGTTTCCATTGACTTTCCTAGTAACCAGATCCCTACGGTAACGGCTATCAATTCACATCGAAGAAGGCAAGCCAAAAAGCGGAGAGAAAAAGTGAATAAGGAAAAGGATGAGAAGATAGAAGCTCTAAAGAAAAAAGTAGATAAATATAGGAAAAGAATAACAAGATTACAAAATAGAAGTAAGAAAAATAAAGCAGACACACCCAACACTAAAATGCAGAAGATGTTGAATGAACCTGGAGGTAGAAAAGAAGTGGTTAAGAAAGCGTTGTTTAGCGACTTTTTAAATGATGAACAACTCAAAGAAAATTATTCAAATTTAAAATGTATTAAAGATAAACAAATATTTACGAAAGTCTTGTCTGGAGTTCGATTACAAAAGTACAGGCGGTGTATACCCAGAGACTGTGGTGTTTTGTATAGAGGTGTTCAGAGTACAAAACGTTAGAATACTTTGACCGTGCCTGTGATACGGCGGATAAGAATACCAATAAGGTATTATAAGCAAGCTGTTCGGTCCTTTTTTGAAGATGACAGTAACAGTCGCATAGGAGCTGGGAAAAAAGAATACGTTACAAAACAGAATGTGAGAAAGCAAAAGAGATATCTTCTTGATACGATTCTTAATTTATACAAAAAATGTTTGGCAAATAACTTCAAGATTAGTTATCAAACATTCTGTCGGTTGCATCCATTTTGGGTAGTAAGACCAAGTACACAAAATCGTGACACATGCTTGTGCGTAACTCACAGTAATTTGGACATGAAGTTGCGGGCTCTATATGATGCAAAGATAATTGCCTACAACAACTACCAGAAGTTACTGGAACAGCTATGTTGTGACCAGTATAATGAAAACTGCTTATCAAGAAGATGCCTTCTTTGCAAAAATAGACTTCCTAAATATAAAGAATTCAACGATAAGAGAATCATAAAATATAAGATGTGGGTCCAAGAAAGACAAGAAATCATAGATTTAAAGACGAAAAAGCCAAAGATAGTGACAAAACACCTGAAAATGGTGTACAATGGACATCCCCGTCAAATAATATCACAATTACACACAGATTTAGAAAAATTCTTTGTACATCAAAGAAATATCATACATCAATACAGTGCTATAAATCATTTAAAACAAAATCTACAAGACGACGATGTCCTTATTCATATCGACTTCAGCGAAAATTATTACACAAAGTATGCCGAAGAGATACAAGCATTTCATTTCGGTGGATCTAGAGCGCAATTGAGCCTGCATACAGTAGTAGTTTATTTAAAAGGTACAATACATTCCTACTGCACGATATCAGATAACATAGCCCACTCACCTGCTGCTATTTGGGTACCTCTAGGACCCATTTTTCAATCACTTCCATGTGGCATAAAGCATGTACATTTCTTGAGCGATGGCCCCGTTACGCAATACCGTAACAAAACAATGTTCTTTATGATGGCAACCAAACTACCGCAAGATATTCCAGGTATAGAACAATTCACCTGGAACTATACCGAGAGTGGGCATGGGAAAGGTGCACCAGATGGAGTTGGTGCAACCTGTAAAAGAACTGCCGATTTTGTTGTAAATGCTGGTGGCGATATAAATAATATCGAACAGTTTGTACAGTGTATCCAAGAAAGATGCCCAAATATAACTTGCATCACAATCGACAGTCAAGATATTCAGGAAATGTCCAATAAACTTCAACAGGAGGCATTTAAGCAGAAGGGCTTCAAAGGCACGTTAAATGTGCATCAAGTCACAGGGGTCTTTTCTAGCTCCATTTCTGACCTCCCAGCAAACTGTATAACCTTAACAATGAGGAGCCTCAGCTGTTTTTGCAACACAGGCATCTGTGAGCATTTTAAGATAGGTAACATTACTTATGACCTGAATCCAAGATTGAGAGTAGAAGATGTGTTTTCAGAATCGGATTCGGATAGTAATATAAATTTAAGCGAGTATAAGTCAAATATGCCTGTGAATGTCGTCAGTGATGAAGTCGCTGGAACTAGTGGTCGACAGCATTCATGTTATAGCACTGGAGACTACGTTCTTGTTAGATTTTTGGTAAAACATGTGGAGTATCGATATGCTGCCGTGGTTAATAAAGTCGACGAAGAGGAAAATGATTTGCGTGTTACATTTTTAAAGGTTTGTGATGACAAGGTTCAAACCTTTAAAATAGATGAAAGTGACATATCAGATGTATCATTTGACCATGTAGTTCAGAAGTTGGAGAGTCCTGATTTAATACTGAAAGGGAATCGAATATTTTACAAATTTGAGTCTTTGGTGAACGTGTATGAGAGATTGTTTCTTTCAAGTTCCGAAGTCATCTGGCCGATACTCAGATAATAGTTTTTTTAAGTTTTGTTTGTAAGTTCAGATTTATTTTGTAAACTACAACAATATTGCATATATATGTCGGTAGGGGCATTTTAAATGAATGACGGTGATCTTTTGTGATACTATTTTTATGACTACAAAACTACAAAATATCACATGGTGATGATGTTGAGTTTTTATATTTCCTGGATGTTCCATGCCTGGCTTTCTAATGAACCATCAAACATATAAAAATGTTAGTTTTTCTATAAAAATTTGTAAGTGAAGTTTTATTTTGTTACTGTACTATCATAATAGTGTTAGTGAAGGTTGTCGAGTTTTTTTTTGTGAAACTAGTTTCTTGATCTCATTTGTAGTACAAAATATGGAATGTTATGTGCCTCTTGATGAAACTGAATATTTTTGTATGACGTTATATGTTTTTGTATTCATTTTTACTGTACTACTATTAAGTGGTCATAGAGGTACCACTGATGATGCAAAATAAAGAATATTGAGCACATGCCTACGATTTTTATGAGTTTTAAACAGTCCCCTACCTCACTAGGCAGTCCCCTGCCCTGCTTGAAACAGTCCTCTGTTACATATAACAGTCCCCTGCTAAGAACTTTTAGAAAACAGCTAATATCGGAGAAAATAGCTATTTCTTCAATGGGCATTTTCGTGTTTGAGATGTATGTGTCGATTTCGTAGGCCTTAGATGGTGTTTCTTTGATATATATTGCTATAAAATCTCTGGACAGATTTGTATGGTGCGTTGACGAGTTTACAGAGAATCACCCACTTACCAGGGTAAACACTGGAACCACTGGTAAAAGGGTACCTGCCAGCACCAGGTGAGCACTGATGCATTCCTGAGCTGCTTTCCAGTAATCCAATTGAGTTACTCTGGGTGACTCAGTAGTGTTTAATATTGTTCCACTGTACTTTGTAAACATACACACTTTCTAGAGTAGTTCGGGAGCATATCACTCAAAAGCACTGGAATGCAGCTCTGGTTTCAGTATGCCAATATCCTAGTTTCAAACTACCATTCCTTGAGTTGGCTACATATTGATCAAGGTCAAATCACAAAATTGTCATACTGACACAAATGTATGCAATTTGAATTATGCCTGTGAGGACACGATTTCCAGGAACCATTACAAACATCTTTTTTTATTGGTTTATACATATATGTTATGTCTCTTTTCATGAAAATATAATGTGTATCTAGCAATACAAAGGATATTTGTATTTTGTTCTAACAGCTACCTATACCAATGCATATACAGATATTGTGTATATTTGTTGTTAAAATAGGAAATGGCACATGCCAAGTGAGTATCATTTTGCTAATTTTCAAGTGTTTGCACTTTAATATAAATCATAGTTACCTTAATTTCATCTCATCCAAATGATGCATGATTCTTTACACTATTTGGATGGTTTATTTCTACAATTTGTCGGTTTGCTCAAGATTATTTTGGCGGAACACTGAAATCTCAAATAGCTATATCCACATACATTTTACTTACTTTATTACCCGTCCATATTTTTCAAATATTTTATGAAGGTCATTGTTCTTCAATTCAAAAGGTAAATTAGAGACATATACTGTGCTTTTGCTTGGAGCTAGACCTCCACTCATTATCCTGAAGTCACTTTAAAAATCACAATAAATTTACCAAAATGCCCTGATTTGACGTTTATTGTAAATAAAAACATAACCCACAAAACATATATACACACATAACCTTTACCTCTATCCCTCTTCCATTTGCATAGAAAAGTCAAAACTAGTGAGGAGGTGAATCGTTTTATTGGCGAACTGACAACACCAAGGTGATCCTCTTCAGGCAAAATCGAGGTAACTGTACTACCGGCATCACCTGACGTGCTGCTTGCCGGGATCCGAGATTCTCTATTTTTATCTGATTGCAAAAATATGGCGTTTGTTTTGGTTAATATCCAGATTATTAACGATCATGCTTTTGGAGATATCTCGTAAAAAAATAGCATACAATATAAAGCAACAGTATCAGTAGCTGTGAAGGTACACGTGAGATGATTGTGACTATTGTGGGAGATGTAGAAGTTCAGGAGACTGCATCATATCATACAGGTAGACTGTGAACTTATCATATGAGCATGATGTATTTGATAAATTATTTAAAATTGCATATCTGGATTCAGCCTCTTTATAATCCTTGTAGTTGGTATTATTATATAAAATATGACAGGCCAACAAATTAAAGGCATATATCTGAGCTAACTAATAAAAAGTGCCTAGCTTATTTACAAAGAATTATGAATTACATTAGTGTTTTCTCTATTGTTTCAGAATCATTAAGAAGGGGTACAATGAAGTGAACACTTGTGTTGTGCAACACTCAACATGAATTTGAAATAGATCTACCTGAATTTTCATGTAATATAATTTTTACACCATTGTCAACAGCATATGAATATTTTTTTAAACTAAATAAATTTGGTGCTTCATAATTAGGGTTGGATTCCATTTTTATGAACCTTTTTCTGAACAAAACTGCTGAAAGAGATATTACCGTTATTGGGGACATTTTTTTGAATATATGTTCATGGAATAATACTTCAATATCGGAAATATCATTTTCAGCATATTTTAAATTATGAAAAAACGGAATCTCGGACACATTTCTAGCATTTCTTACTTCAGGCGCATTCTTAGCATTCTTTCAATAGTGCCTCCAGGTCTCCAGGAAAGTAGGCGGCGCAACCATCTGACAAACGTCAAAGGTGTTGCCATTGCTTAACGTGCAGCTTCCACTTCTTCAGTCTTATGTGATTTGTGAACCCAAACACAGCTCTATTTCTATTTTTCTGTTTTCTTTTTGTGACCTGACAAGTGGTGACAAAACGTGATCGATTGTGGTTAAGGTATTTTTTTCTTTTTAACAAAAATATTGCTAAGAAAATGGAATCGAAGGCTGATTAAAATTGGTTAGCCACCAATCTTTAAAAAATGCTTCAGTTTTTCTGCATTTTTAACCTCTCCCTTGACGTTTTGACTTAATAATTACAGTGTGCGACATGGCAAAAAGTATCAGAAGCAAATGGAAGAGAAAATGCAGGGCCATAAAACGAGAACGGTACGGTAAAAAAGAGCTAGAAAGGCTGAAGAAGACCCTGGGCATTAAAGACGAATCTGGTATTAGTAAAGACATAGCAATGAAGGATTGTGAACAGATAATAACATTTACCACTGCTGAGGAGATCAATAAGAAACAGGAGGAACCTAAAGATATAATGGATGTCAGTGAATTGGATGATTTAAAGAAGAAGTTTAACCCCAAAACACTAAGAAATGAAAGTGGAGCTTACCCTGTGTGGGTGCATCCCAGGAAAATCAAGAAGGGCAAAGGTAAAAAGCAGAAAAGCAAGAAGAACAAGGGTAATGTTGGTAAAAGGAAGAATAAGTCATAGTTGTACAATCTTATATTAATATATGTTTTTGGGATGTTACAATAAATGTGTTTAGGATATCTGTTTGTTAAAGATCATAGAATAAACTACAGATAACTATTTATTTCTTAACTAATTTCTAGTACCACCTGGGGAAATGTTATCTAAAGAAAGTGATGACAATGAAGTCACCATGAGTGATAACAAGTAGTCTATAGGGTCAACTGGGGTAAATGTAAATGGGGGTAAAAGTAAACACTTTTATATTCATGTTTAAACTTCGCGCCTGACGCTATATTCCTCTTCTACTATGATGCTAAATTTCACCAGAAGGCATTGCCGCCAAGCAATTCTGCATGCGATTGCAATTTCAGTTACAAACAAGCAGTCATAGAAGCACGTGCCTTTTGTTGTGATTACAAAGTGAAGTATCTAGAGATATGCTTTAATTTGCTTTCTAAAAGGTAAGTAGTTTTGCATTTGGATTATTATGGCTTCTTAAACATATATTTTTATAATTATACTCTTTTTTCCGTCATTAACGCCTAGTTTTTAACAAAAAAAGATGTTTACATTTACCCCTGATTCGAATATGCTAGGGAAAATGTTTATTTTTATGCTAAAGTTACACAAAGAACTTACAACAATGTTTAAAGTATCTAATTTCGTTTTCAGATGCCTAAAAACGATGTAAAAAAATCTGCTGGGCCTTCATATACATCTGAAGATATTAGAAGAGCTGTCGAGGATGTTGCAAACAAAAATAAAACCTATAGAGCAGCTCAAGAGCTCTATGGTGTTCCCATATCTGTTATCTGTCAAAGACTTACTGGAAAAAGAAGAACCCCAATTGGTTCCGTAGCAAGAGCTCGAAAACCTGCCCTATCAGCAGAAGTTGAGAATACTATAGAGAGATGTATCCTTACTCGAGCGCAATACGGTTATCCCTGCGATAAAAATGAGCTGCAGGACCTAGTCAAAACTTATGTCGAGAGCAAAGAATTACAAACTTCTTTTAAAAACAATAGACCCGGAGACGATTGGTATTATGATTTTCTGAAAAGGCATCCCACCCTTTCAGTTAAAAAGCCTGAACTGTTACAAAAATTACGTAAAGACGCACGAAAACCCGAAGTTGTTTATTATAATTTTTACAAAATTCTGAGACAAACATTAATTAGCAAAGATCTGATTAGCCCGGATAAGGCCTGTTTTATTTATAACGCAGATGAAAGTGGTTTTCCTAGTGACCCTAGTTGCCTTCGTCCAATAGGCCAAAAAGGTAGGTCACTTTGTAGAGTATCAGGAGGTAGTGGTAGGGAAAATACCACGATGGTCGCTTGCATTGGAGCCGATGGATCTGTTTTACCTCCGCTTGTCGTATTCAAGGGAGCCGCAGTTCAGACAAGATGGGTTTCAGAAAAAGGATACCCTGGTACCCGTTATACCACCTCAAGTAATGGATGGATGGAGGAGCCGCAATTCTTCCATTGGTTCACCAGTACTTTTATACCTCATATCCAAAAAGTACAGGAGAAACTATCGCTGAGTCAGTATGCTTTACTTATTTTTGATGCCCATGCCAGCCATATGAGTGTGAGGATCTTAGAAGAAGCCATTAACAACAATTATTTTGATCAAACTATCAAGCCATTTGACAGATAGATTACAGCCTTTAGATAAGTGTGTATATGGATCTGTGAAGACATGTTGGGAAAAAGAACTTATTTCTCTAGGCAAAAAGAAAATGGGTTCTGGCTCTGGCTGGTTAACTAAGCTAGAATTTTCCGAGGTTCTTGGGACTGTTTGGAAAAAATCTATGACATATGAAAATATTATTTCTGGATTTAAAACAACAGGAATATTTCCTGTAGACAGCACCAAATTTCCCATAAGCGAATTTACTGGAAATAGTGTTGATAGTACTCTTCAAGAACGAGAAAAGATGCAGCCACCTAACGTCTCATATCTACATTCCTCTTTTCAAGGGATCATATCTTCCACATCCCAATCTAGCGCAACTGATATTTCAAATCAACCTTTGGTGTTGCAAACCAGCCCACAGCAAATTGATATGTCTGATGAACCGACCATTCCCAAGTCAAGACACACAATGATTGATTCCCAAAACGTAACTCAAGATACCAATGTTTCAAAGAAACCTTCTGATTTACAAGTCGCAGCTACAAATGGATCAGAAATTGAGAATCTGTTTTTTAAAAGAACTGAATTGGAAGATTTCGTAAGTACAACAAAAAACAACAAACGTTTGATTAAAACAAAAGACTTATGGTGAAGTACTTATAAAAGAAGATGTCTTGAAAAGACTTAAGGAGACCGAAGAAAAGCAGTTGAAAAAGAAACGTCCAAAATTACAAAATACAGAAATAAAAACGATAAAGGCGAAAAAATTAAAAAAATCAAGTGGACTTTTCCTCAAGTGAAAGTGAAACAGAATATCTTGAAAATGCCAGTGATAGTTCCTTGGATGAAAATGATGAAGATGAAATTGACATTAAGGCATGCCAATTTTCAGAGCTGACTAATGGCAATTTCATTTTAGTAAGCTTTAAAGGAGGTAAACGAGGCTCCACGACATTTAAGTATGTCTGTGTAATAGAAAATTTTGAAGGCACCGACTTGGAAGTGATGGGTCTAAAATCAATTGACACCTCCCGGCAAGATTTTGCTGTGGTAGGAAAAGATAAAAGTTACATTAGCTTTGAACAAGTAATAGAACTTCTTCCTTTCCCAAAAATACGAATTAAAGAACGAATTTTTTACCATTTTATTAAGAGAGTGCCTGTTATTGAACAGTGAATCAAGATCATTATTTCCTTTTAACTTTAAACATAATTTGGTTTTACTTTTCGTAAATTTGTAGTTAGGGCAATATTACCCGTTTATTTATGTTTTTTTCTATTTAACAATTTGATTGTTAACATAAGTTTAAGGAAAATGAAGTTCCTAGCTTTGGTTGTGTCTCTTTTAGAATCGTTACCTCTAATCCAATTTATTACGCATTGGTAATACTCCAGTTTATATTTATGTTTGTGAAATAAAGTTCCTCCGGAGCAATTAAGAAATCAGTTTTTATTTATAAATACAATGGAACTTGGGGTAAATGTAAACATTCCTTAAAACCACTTGAGATTATTATCAGACATCCAGTACTCATTGTGTTTACATTTTCCCTAGTAAAAGTATACATAAAGATATGTACCTATAGTTTAAAAACAAAGTGTTCACATTTACCCCTAAAACACCGGGTAAAAGTAAACAAAACGTTTCTTTTTGATCTTCAAAATAAACAAATAACACATTTTCAAGAAATCTTATTTCTTTGGAACAAAACAATGAAAATATGAGAGAATTATACTTTCCTATCCAATTTTATCCCTTACTTTTTGGTACTCGGAAAATAAGACATTTGGGCAAATGTAAACAAACCTGTCAAAAGCATTTACAATTACCCCAGTTGACCCTATACCAGGAGAACTAGTGAAATGAGCAAAGCAAGTTCCAGTTTCTATGCATGTGCAAGGTATCTCATGTTATAGAATGAGATCTAACTGATTGATCTGCAGGTAGTTCTTTTTTAATTTTTATGAGTGGTAAATAATAGTAGAACAGATCACAGCAGGGTTGCCTTTATTATTTATCATCCTTAAAAATTAAATTTAAAAAAACCTGCAGATTCACATGGCCAGACCTTAGAATCCTAGAAAAACGTTTATATGGGAGAGCCATCAAAATATAGTGTTGCCAGATCGGTCAGACAGAATTTCCCCAAAAGAAGCACAAAAATTCCTCAGAATTGCTATTTAAAAAAAATCCCACAAATCACAGTTAATATTAATAGAAAGGAGTAGGATTGGTTCAAAGAGTAGGGTATGCTTTTTATCTGCAAAAAGTTGATTCCTCCAGAATATGTTGCCAAAAATTACCCAAAATTGAGTTTTAACAGCACTAACAGCATAGGTATAGTTTCTCCTGGTATATAGGGTAGAGTGGGGTTAACTGAACAGGTAGGTTAACTGAACACATCGATGTTCCTGCCATCTAGTAATGATAAATTAAACTTGATTTTGCCTGAAAGCGTCTTTTGTTACGTGTGTTGACACTGTTCGGTGCAGATTTCTTTTAAGTCGGTTCTAATTTCGTAAATCAGCAAACATATTTTTAATGGCCGCCACGTAAAATTTGTGCTCCCAAGTTTTTTTGTGTTACAGTTAGCAAAATAGAGTTTTTAAATTGGTTTGACGTATATTTTGTTCCAGTAAGTATTTTAGCATTTATTTCTTGTGTTTACCTAAGCTTAACATTATTTTTTAATCAAATTTTTCTTTTACTTATGTATTGGTGCACAGTGGGTATAACTGGACATCTCATGTATGTGGTTATATGAACAGGTGTTCAGTTAACCTGCGTTATTTATTTATTATTATTTTGTCTACAAATTTAGTTTATTTTTTAGAATATGCCAAGAAAAAGACTACGTACTACCAATAACAGATCATATAGTGTAGCAGATCTTAGACAAGCATGTGAAGAAGTCCTGACACATGGTCGAACAACTCGAAGTGTTGCACTTCAGTTTAAAATCCCAAGAATTACTTTAAAAAGGTATGTCGATAAATGTCGGGAAAAAAACAACTTGGATATAAATTTTCGCCCCAACAACGAACATCTTTTGGCTTTTAGTCCCGATGAAGAATTACTTCTTAAAAAATACTTAGAGCATGCATCTAACATTCAGTATGGCTTGTCTTCTAAACAAGCTCGTATTCTAGCTTACGAGTTTGCGGTGGCCAATGGCAAAACCATAAAAGAAAGTTGGTCCCGAGAAGCAATGGCAGGCAAAGAGTGGATGTTTAGATTTATGAACAGGCACAACTTTTCGTTGAGGACGCCAGAACAAACAAGCTTAAGTAGGGCAACCAGTTTTAATAAGACAAATGTGGAGGCATTTTTTTAAAATTTTAGAGAGATTAAAGAGAGATATAATTTGCAATCTAATGATATATACAATCTAGATGAATCCGGTGTAACCACAGTCCATAAACCTCCTAAGGTTCTTGCAATTAAAGGAAAAAGAAATGTAGGCCAGATGACGTCGGCTGAAAGAGGGACGCTCGTAACTGTTGTAGGAATTATTGGAGCTACAGGACGATATGTTCCTCCTTTTTTAATATTTCCCCGAGTACACTTTAAAGAAAATATGCTCCATGGAACTCCAGCTGGCTCTAAGGGTGGAGCTTCGCCTTCTGGATGGATGAACAGTCAGTTGTTTCTTCCTGTGTTGCAGCATTTCGTACAAAACGAGAGACCATCTAAAGAACATCCCAAACTAATAATCCTTGATAATCATGAGAGTCACTTAGGTATTGCAGCACTAAATTTTGCTAAGCAAAACGGTATACTCCTTTTGACATTGCCACCCCATTGCAGCCACAAGCTGCAACCATTGGATTTAGCAGTATTTGGGCCATTTAAAAAATATTATGGTGCAAGTTGTGACAGATGGATGGTAAATCATGCCGGAAAACCTATCACTATTTATGACATCGGATGTCTGGTTGGAGAGGCTTTTTTGCAAGCGTTTACTCCAAAAAATATATGCAGTGGATTTCGTGCTGCAGGAATAGAGCCGTTTAATGACCAAATATTTTCGGATGAAGAATTTCTTTCGTCATATGTTACAGATAGACCAGGGAAAACATCAGAGGAAGAGGCACCACAAGCTGGGTCGTCACAAGATAATACATCACTGCCTAAACCAATTCAACATGGCATGACAGATCCTGTTCTGTCACAATTTCAGCTCTCAAAATATCAAGAATCACAAGCCGGACCATCACAAGCTGAATCGTCGAGCACTGCTAAACTACAAACTGAAAAATCACAAACCAAACCGACTTTATCTTCAATTGAGATAAAAAAGCCGACATTACAAATTATAACTCCTGAACAGATCCGTCCTCACCCCAAAGCTGGTGAACGAAAGTCTACAATTCGACGAAAGAAAAAATCCCTGATTTTGACAGACACTCCAGTCAAAGAGAACATAGAGGAAGAAGCAAGACTTCGAGAAGAAAAAGCACAAAAAAAACCAGAAGAACTAACAAGAAAAAAGAGGCAGTAAAAAGACGTATTCTAGAAGACAGCTCTTCTGATGATGACAGTGTTATCTATGAAGAAAGCTCGGATTCTTTAGAAGAATTTGATGCATATGACGATAGTCCACAAGCTGTGACAAAAGGCGATTTTGTAATCGTGAAAGTGTATGGGCAAAATAAATTAAATTTCAGACATTATGTTGGTGAAATTATTCATGCTGTAAATGATGGTTTTGAGGTTACTTTTTTAAAACGCCACAAAGAAACAAAATATTTTTTTAAAAATAATGAAAATGGCTTTGTTGTAAAAGCTGATATTGTTTGTAAGTTACCCATGCCAGCCAAAAGTAACAGCGCTAGATATGCCAACATGGTGTCATTTCAAGTTGATTTAAATGAATTTGACTTTACAGTTTATTAAAATTACCTACAATATTTTCATACATGTTCAGTATGTTTGACTTTACAGTTTATTAAAAGTATCTATAATATTTTAATGTATCTTCAGTATGTTTCTTATTATAAATAAAAATGATTGTTAAAAAGTGTTGACATATTTTCTATGATATATTTCTAACATTTTTATTATAGCTAGTCGCCTTATTCGCTAGAGGGCTAGACTTGTATTTAGGGTATTAGGTTGGTAATAGTAAATGATGGAAAGCTTGCCAGCCTTCTTATGGTTTAGTGCCCTGAATTTTCCATGCATGGCCATTTTTGCTGTTTAACAATTTATGACAAATTTATTGTATATTTCTGTCAATTAAATAACAAAAATGGCAGCGCATGAAGATTCCAGGGCACTAAATCATAAGAAGCTAACAAAATTTCCATGTAGAAAGTGTTAAGTAAAAGTAAATTTAAAAAATATATCTTGTTTGTACCTCTGTTCAGTCAACCTGCATAAGTGGTCCAGTTAACCTGACAGGCAGGTTAACTGGACAATTTGATAGGTTTTAAAAAAAGTCAATCTGTCATACACATAAATTCAAATTTAACTTTAAACATTACGTTTTCCAATTACTTACATAACTACCAAAGCATGGTCACAAAGGTATGTTTTTAGCAACGATTTACTGGTCAAAAACAGAGTTTAAATTTTGATGGGTCCAGTTAACCCCACTCTACCCTAGGCTCCATGAGTGATAATTTCTATACATAAAATGACATTATCCAACCGCACTTGCACCCTCTATCATTCATATCCAACTCTCTCATTCAGTATTACATATTATCACTATTGCTTCCAACTACTCCTGTAGTTTATAACAGTTACAATCCAGGCCCTTTCTGTCACTGTTGCCATTGAGTTACTTAGCTTTTGACTGCTGCTATTGCAACCTCTTTCTATCCTGTGGACATAGTAATGCACAATAAAAAAATATCTTTTAGTGTTGTTAAACTTTAATCTCTCTGCCATTCCACACAATTGTTCAGTGCACAAAATAACACTATAACCACTTAATTTCTTACACAAGTCTTGCCTGATACTGTATCACTACTTTTACACATACTACAGTATATTCAGATAAGAGATAGACCGGATGTAAACAAAAGGTTCGGGTGATTTTCACGCTAACGCCGCCGTCTCGACGTAAAACAGGAGCCCTCATTGGTCAATTCGCAATTAAATGCCTATGCCGAGCGGCAGAGCAGTCGTATCAAGGCAGAGTCACATTCAGGTTCAGACGTGTTACGTATGTCGTGTGCATCATTGCAATTTGATATTTCTTTGGACGTTTTCGTTTGTTATCTTATTAAGCTGTTGAGTTTGTCGTTGTTATTGTTATACCTTGTTATTGATTGTTATTGTTATCAACTGCTTGCGCAAAATGCCCAGTAGTACAGATACTGCCGATGAAGTTGTAAACTCCTGTAGTCCACCTAGGAAACGCTCTAAAAAAAGACACCTGAGTGCAGAAATGAAAGAGGTCATTTTGAATATATATAAGATCGAGCGCGAGGAGAACGAGGCATCAACCATCAAAGAAATTGTTGTGAAGGTTTCTCACAAAGTTGGGGTGTGTCGCGCATCAGTGTTTAATGTGTTAAGACAATACAAAAAAAATCACACCTTTTCTGAGCCAATGACCAGTAAACATCGCAAAAGTATTGTTAAATCATTGGATGAAGCTGATAAGCATGCGATTAGGAGGAAAGTGCATGAATTCTTCTTTAGGAATGAAATACCTACTATAGATAAAGTACTGCAGGAGGTAAATGGAGATACAACGTTGTCAAATTTCAAACGATCAACTTTCCATGCGTTACTGAAGCATTTAAATTTCAAATGGAAAAAACGGGGTCGTAATAGTTTACTACTGGATAGAGAAGAAATTGTGCTATGGAGGAGGGATTATTTAACAAAAATTGGGAAATATAGAAATCAAAACAGGAAGATTTATTACCTTGATGAAACGCGGGTAAACGCAGGACACACTACAAGTAAAGTATGGGTTGATGATTCTGTAACTTCATCCAGGAGGGCCTTTCTAGATGGACTGTCCACCGGATTAAAAAATCCAGCAGGTAAATACGAGTAATAGACAACAATCGGATGTTTTTCAAACCTTGGGAACAAGGTTCTAAACATTAATTCCAGGGGGCAGATAAAACATATTACAAGTAACAAAACTTTTATAACTTTCGATAAAATGCGTGGATGTTTTATTGTCATTTTAATTAGTTAGAACTTTTTTAAGCCATGTTTTTATGTGTTTTCGATATTTCAATAATTTTTTAATATAATCTTAAAATATGTCGAATATTATAAACTTAAAAAGAGTTACTAAGTTTTATATTGTGTACCGTTCCTAATATTTCTAATCATTTTAATTCATACTTTAAGCTTTATAAAGTTATAATTTGTTAATATTAATATTTGCGCGTATTTCAGGTTCCTGATCATTCATTTTTAAAGGTTTATAACTTTAAATTAAATTGTGAAGCGCTGAGTAATCATACGACGTTCAATATTCTTTCTTTCAATATGACTAAATAATCCCAATAATAGCAATCTGATACTCATGTCTCAATGTTTTTTCGCTGAATGTGATGAAAACATTTGAAAGAGGTTCGCTTATTGAAATAAATCTACACCAGTTAGTACTTCGATTTCCAGGTAAAGGGAAAAGGCTCATTATCTGCCATATTGGCAGTGAGGATGGATTTGTTGTTGACGGTCTGTGGTGCTTTGAGTCTAAGAAAACTGGAGATTACCACGAGGAAATGAATGGCGAATCGTTTGAACAGTGGTTTTCAAAAATTTTACCGAACTTAGAGGAAAACGCAGTAATTGTGTTGGATAATGCGCCTTATCATTCTCGAAGAATGGAGAAGGTCCCAACAACGGCTTCAAGGAAAGTTGATGTTCAAAATTGGCTCCGCTCGAAAAATATAAACTTTGAAGAAGCAATGCTGAAAGTACAATTATTAAGAATTGTCAAGGATCACAAGGCGGAATATCAAAAATACGCCATTGACGAAATGGCAGCAAGTCAAAATAAAACTGTGCTCCGTTTACCTCCATACCATTGCGAGCTCAATCCCATTGAGCTCATATGGGCAGAGGTTAAAAATTATATAGCTAAGCACAATACAACTTTTAAATTTTGTGACCTCAAAGGACTTTTCAAAGAAGCACTAGAATTAATAACAGCGCAAAAATGGGAAAACTGTATTAAGCACGTGAAAGACAAAGTTGGAAAGAGAATGTGGGAACTGGACAATATTTTAGAGGAACAAGTCGAGCCATTCATTATTGACGTTGGTGCTTCAGGCAGTAGCGATGATGAAAGCTCATCAAGCTCATCTTTCCAATAAAAGATGTCGTTCATCAAATTCGGTAAGTTATAAGTAATTATAAAGCTACTGTATTTTTTAATTAATTATTGACATTTTTGAACCCATTTTGGCAAAACCTATTCAAGAATCTACTTTCTGACAATGTTCAACCATGCACATTTTTTTACGTTTTGAACGTTTTAATTTGGTTACATATTTACCTAGAAATCAAAAAATATACTAATCAATATTCTAAAAGCAATTTTAAGAGATATACGATTATTTTTAATTTAGGCTAATTTAAACGCCATTTTGAGATTATATTCGACTGTATTTCACCAAACATCAGGCGGCATCCGAAGCTGGAAATCGAAGCGAAAATTTTGAAACCCTTATGTATATTTACATCATTATATATTTCTTACCCCACCCCCACATGATCCTATATCCATCACCAATCGTATACACATCGAATTGTGCCAATTTACTACAAAGTTACGCAAAGCAGCATCTACTATCTAAAATATGTATGTACTGCGTGACTCTTAATACGTCCCTGCCGAATGTTACAGCGTTCGATGATCACGTGGTCTTGTTTATGTCCGGTCTATCTCTTATCTGAATATACTGTAGATAGGTACAAAATCGTGACATTCCCGTTTTTGAACACAACAGAAGTTGTCCTGATATGTTTTGACATTTTTGACTTTTTACAGTTGACAACAATGCTCTTGGCATTTTAAATAGTGATATCACTATGCATTCTTAGTACAGTTAGTGGCTGTCCCTTTTCTCAAATGGCACTCAAAGTAGTGTTCAACGTCATGTATCTTACTTACATCCCCCTGCTGTTTGTCATTTGCTGTTTTATTTATTTTAAATTAGGTTCTTTGGCATCTTGGTCATATCAATATATGTTTTTGTTGAGTGTACACAGAACCACCTGTTTGAATTTGTCCAGCCACAGATGTGAAGTTGGCTGAATGAACTTACAAGTGAATAGATAGGGTGGCAGCAGACCCTTGAAAGATCAAGATCAAGAGACAGTCAATATGTTTATACAATTTATTTAGGATTTAGATAATCTGAGGTCTGAAATATGAGGTATTTATACTGTAGCAGATTGATTCTAGGATCATCTACCTTCAATCTTTTACAAGCTTGCGTGCGAGATTGCCCACATAATTAAATCGGATTAAAGTGTTTATATCAGTAAAGGCAAATCCAAATCTTAATCCAATCCTACTTATTTGGAGAAGAGGATGATCCTGAGTGTATATATGGGAACTTTGATTCTTGATCCTAATATCATCCGGCATAAATCCTCAATATAAACCTAGTTAGTTTCTTTTATTGTAGCTGCAGGGGGCTAACCTGCCTTTAGGGGAGAGAGTTGCCTTCCCACCAACTGGATATGCTTTTGTTGGAGGTCATTATAGGAGAGTTCCATTTTAAAATTTGGTATCATAGGCTGGGTTATGATATGAGCAGGAACCAACAGCTTATACAATTTCCACTTACCTCCATTTTGTCATAATGAATCGAAATATGGTCTTATACTCAAGTTGCACCAGTAAGTGGTTTTTCTTTCACTAAACATGTTTTTAATAATTTACCTATACAACTTGAATTCAGGGGGGAGGGTATTATGTTGTATACAACTTACTTCACCTAAAAATTAGCGGATATACCCCTCAACATTTGATCTGTGTTTTATCTTGCTATATACAGACCTTCCTTTTAGGTGATATGATTGCACGTTTTTGTAGAAACTCTTTATTATAAATAGGTATAAAAATTAACGTGGCAGTGGTTTAAAGCTAGGTTTTCGAATTATTTCTAACAATTATACATTAATATTTACAACACATGTCAGTCATTCAAATACAAATTTTATTATTAAAGGCACATTTTTTCATTCGGTCATATTTTAACATGAGATCATCCACTTTTTCAGCTTTCTTTTCTATGTAACTCAGCTTACTTTTGAAAACGTGCAGATCACTCTTGTAGTTTTCCTGAAACAGAGAAACGCATCAGCACAATATTTACATATATTATTTTTGGGGGGAAAACTTTGCTAAACATACATCATTCTGTGTCAAAAAGATCGTAATCGTTACACATATAAAAATTCTTGCTGTTGCGTAGATTAGCGCTGGAAGTCAATTTTGAAGATGCTGAAACTGGTTTTTATCGTCAGATTACAGAATTTACACTTCTCACAAATTAAAGGGTGCTGTAATCGGTTGGAAGATATGTTTTGATATGGACAAAATAATACCTATGACACGATCAAAATTAGCCATTATTGTATTTTAGTACAAAGATATCAATGATCAAATTACCATATCGTTTATTTTATTCTTAAGGTCGCTAACATCTTCCGAGATATGGTTAATGTCCCTGTACACGTTACGCAAGTCATCCTTGGAAACGTCATTTTTGTGGCTTTCACCCATCATCTGAAAAAAACCATGATTAGTTATACGTTGTTGATCAGTCTCGCGAAATTCCTCACTGTTTCTAATTTCAACAGTCTTTTATCCAAAAGCTCAAATTCCAGGTCTTTAGCTTCTATGCCTCCATCGTCGTCTGCAAAAATTAAGTCATTTTTAAACTTGAACAATATACTATACATATTTTATGAAAGTTTGGAGGTTGAAAAGTCTTTACAAGTAGTACTCGCAGGACACTTACTTCGTTCATATGTATAAAGTATTAACATTTTTTACTTCCAACTAAAAGACCCCACAGATGCCTTATGGAGAATGGATTTCTGATATTTACAAAAAAATAGTATATTGTGGACATCAAAACGTAGAACAAAAGTGTTCGAAGTTTACGAGATACTGGGCCTTCAAGTCTGGGGTGTCTATACCCTATTATTGCAGCTTGTGGGTTCGGTTTACGATATTTAATGAGTGTTTGATATTTATTCATGTTCTTATCACCATCCCTACTGGCCGGTTCAGCAACATTGCAATTCTGTATCATGCACAAGGTGACCCAAACTTACTTAGATGGAATATTGAGTGTTCTACTACTGAGCAGGATATCAAATCGTTTTTATACATATCTATTCACTTACTAATTTGGATAGACCTTAATACTGCATTCTGTGCATTTTTTTTGAGATATCATATATTTTGCCTAAGCATGGAAGTACCTATATGAATCTGTATCTCAAATATTTTAATAGAAGAGCGATAAAGTTGCAATCTTAAACGCATTGCGCTAATTGCGTCACATAAACACACTTGACTAGGTATCTCAAAACAATTTAATAACAGTGGTATTTCAAAATGTGACAATACACAGGTATTCAGTTTAAGAACGTCGATATGTATTGGTTGTCATACTTTAATTTCTGATTTAGATAAAATACACAACTACAATATCAACAACTACTCGATAAAACTAAGCAGTGTGTAAGACTATCCAAATATTTAATAACAGCATAAATATCTACCAAAAAAGCAACTTTCTTACCATGGCCATTAGTCGAACACATTGTGTTTCTGGGCAATAATAATCCACCTGCGCAAGTTTGGTCCATCCTGTACATGTGAGAGAATTGCAGTGTTGCTGAACCAGTAAATTCGTGCATGTGGTAACAATCTTTGGCTTGTTATTCATTGAAATTTAATAAAACCAACTAGATAATTTGCGTACCTGAACCAAAAAAATAAATGTGATTTGAATTGTGAAAACGTGATTTAAACTTCCAACCTCAAACTATGCAAAAAGGGAAAGTGTTAGCACACCATGTGAGAGACATTGAAGCTTACGCTAAACGGTCAAAGCTGCTTAATAAGAGCTCTGATCATAACACGTTTGTCTGTGGCGCCGTATTGAGATTCCTTAGAAATGTTAAATTGTATGACCTTTTATTCAGAAATTGTCTATATTTGATGACCCTACATTTTCTTTCAATAAAAAAAGTCTGACACAAACCTCCTACAAAACATCATTAAATGTGAGTACCTTGGCGTGGCTACCCCAACCGTATTTTTTTCTCTGCACCACAGTAAACATTATTTTTATGTTGTAGGTTATAAATATTATGCTACAAAAAGGCACCATATGTGAAATTTGCATGATATTTGCAGATTTGATTGATGTTTTAGAAGATTTTTATAATATATGTACTTGCCGTTGAAACGATGGAGAAACAGTCACAGATAATCATTATTGATAACTCGCATTATAGTTTAATATATTTACTCATTTCATATCAAAATTCGGTACATGGGCACGATTATCCTTTGTTATACAGGGAAAACCAAAATTTGTCTGACAGTTTGAGTTCAATGTGCACGAGACAGAAGCGCGAGAAGTTTGTTTCAACACATGTTAGAATGAGATAGAAGCCGACTGAAGAGCGAAGGTCATCACCACATTACCTACCAACGGTGACGCAGAAGGTCGTGCAATCTGCCGCGTCGCCAATATGTTACACCAGAAAATGTTCACACAGGCTTCTACAATAAGTTAGGTTACTATCAAATCCAAGAAGGAATGTTTAATTCAATATTTTGTTTTCATTTTGATTAGTATCATTTATTTCAATTTTGATGCGACTTGGTGTTTTAATTTATTTTAGAATTATCTTTGAAATCGACACATCCCGCGAACCACTGATACAATGTTGCAGAATTTGTGGCGATCCTGACCTTTCACTCAAAATGAAGCGGCGTTGGGACCGATCCGGAATCGATCCTAAACAGGTTCGACACAATTCACAATTCAAAAATGTGTAAGCTCAAAATAAAACCATTATTTGGGCGTAGAGAATAAACTAACGCATACAGGTATGTTTAACATGCAGTTTAATTCAAGGAAGTGGTTTAACATATTGGCAACGCGGCAAATTGCCGCGTCAGCGTTGCTGGGCAACGTGATGTTGAGCTCCGCTATCCAGCCGGCTTTCTAACATATGTGTCTATACACATTTCTGTCGTAGAAATTGAACTCAAGCGTCAAACAAATTTGGTTTTCAGTGTATATTCCCATGACGATGGATATGCGTTTGTGTGCGTTATCACAGGGCTGAGTTTTCAACGAGGTTTTCTATCTGTTTCAAGCAACTTCCCTGGAACGAGTTTCTCCATCTTGATTTGTTTTGAAGGCAAGGTTTAATACTATACGGAAATGTAAAAAATCCCGAAAAATAGCGCCGCGTGGAAAAAATTCGGCAAAATTTCCAACTAAGTGGTTGAAAAAGTCGTTAGTGCAAGTTGTATCCTATGCAAAAAAAACAGAAAAGATGTAGATTGATATAATTAATGAGAATACATGTCTATAATTTGTTTTTGAATTATACTGGTAATTATTAACCTTGTGTTTTTTGTCGCTCGGTCTGTATCGGCATTTGGACAGTCATATCGGCTGATACGTATATCAGCAAATTAGACCGACATGCCGATATACATATTGGTATCGGACGTTAGTAGTAGAAACACGTTTAAATGTTTGCTACATATTTGAGAAATACTAAGGCAGTAATGAAGAACTCTGCACGTACTTTCCTTCTTGCAGCTTTGTTCGTCAGGTTGCAAGACGAAATCTTCTCTGCATTGACATCGGAAGCTCCCGTGCGTATTGTGACAGATTTGGTCGCAGGGTTTCTCTTCTATGCATTCGTCAATATCACGCTCGCAGCGCCTGCCTGTGAATCCCCTACGGCACGCGCATTCACCACTCACGCAAGTACCTCCATTCAAACAACTGAACGGGCAGTGAGCTGTAAAAATCACATTTTTCATTGTTTTGCATTCAAATTGTTTAAATTCTAAGGGTATTAAAATAATGGAGTCAAGTATGTTGACTCTGCATTTCAAATGCAACTCTGCCATCAGTTCATAAACAATTATGTTCGACCCTATGGGAAAAAAGTTTCAAATCCAAGCGAATAACAAAAAATTCTGTGTTGCTTACTGCGGTTATAATGTGGCTTAAGATGACACACGAGTTGATGGCGTCATTTACTCGAATCGCTTGAATGCGTTGGTTTTAACCGCGGTTTTGTTGCAAGTTATTTATTTTAGAAAAGTGCATCTATAACACAACAGTGACATGGAAAGTTTTAAAAAGAAAACTTTCATAATATAAATGGGAGAAATGTTTTTTTCAGAAGATACTGTTTAGGTGTTAAATCACTTGAGGAAATCTCTCTTATTTTTAAACAACACTCGCTTGAATGGATCGGTAAATACCAATCCAAAATGGTAAATACCATTTCAATTTGGTTATTGGCTTGAATTTGATTCAAGGTGAGATTGATTTATTTGTTTCAATACCTAAAGTGAAAAAACAACAAACGAGGATCAAAAATCGTCTAGTATCACCCAGCTCAAATTTAACGAAATTTCCCTCCAGCTTTGTAAAGATGTAGAGCTTGATATCTTTGCAAATCGGATGCTTTTCACGCTAACCTGTCATTCTAATGAAAGAGGCAGAAGTCATTTTACATTCTGAAATTAATTCCACTGCAGCGACAATAAATAATCAAAAACTTATTTACCTATATTGGTAGTATGCGAGTCACTTTCAAACATTTAAATGAACAATTAACTAAACGTTGCTGAGAAGTGGCCAGCGGTCATTTTTAAAATAGTTGTTGAACTTTCAAACAATATATAGGTACTTCCCTTTATCTCTAATACCGACAGTCCTGATACATTTCACAAAGGCTGGTATGGATAAACAAAAACAACAATTTTTTCGAGCCAGTTGTGATGTAATTAATTCATCCATCATAAGCTGTTTGCTAGTTCATCAAATCCAAACCCATTAAAAGACACACCGACGGAAATGAGTGGCATGGGTTTTCGTGATGTACATGTCATACAACATCCGAAAAACATCTCATTTTCAAAAAGTGTCGCTAGTGGCAGTGGCGTAGGAAGTAAAAATGAGGGATTTTTCGGTCTCGCACATAAATAACCAGCTTCTATACAGTATCATATGTATGGGCCAAAATCGCTAGTTTTGAGTTTTATCAATTTTTGTAATTTTTCCACAAACACCCCAAAGTAGTTAGTAGTTAGATATCTCAGTCTAAACAGATGATATATGCAGGTGAGACGTGAGACTGCGATTTATTTTCATAGCTTCTACTCAAACTAAGTGAATGTAACCACAAAAAGTACGAAAACACTATGCAAAATAAAAATACGGCTATTCTAAAAAACAGTTTAGTTTTCGGTTCCAGTTTAATTTAGAATAAAGTTGTGTTTAGCTCGGCAAATTGCTATATTGGCATCGAACATCAGTGTGAGATCATTTTACTGTTTACAAATAGTCTATTAAGACAAAGAAGGTCAAACAATCCCGTTATTAATTTAATGATAATTTTAATATAACTGTTTCAATTGACGTACTTATTTTTCATGATTTTGCTCAGTTCGAGCCTTTTAGTTGAAAATTAGGTCGGCATCTAGTTTTAGTAAAAGTGGCCCTTAGTTAATTTGCAGCATTTACTATGTGCTCAAGGAATAGCTTCAGTGAATCGAATTCTCTGAAATCTGGCTGCCCGTTTTATGTTTTCGATATGTATCTCCAAAGACGCACCAATTCGGCAATGCTCTATGATCCGGTTATGGTAGCATTGCCTTTAATGGCTTTTCAGAGTTGCCGCTATGGCCCACCCAATATCTTGTCATCGTTTTCCCAATCTACGTCTTTGGGGCTATTCAGAAGCTATCTATTGAAAATGCATAATGGGAGCAAACACTGGAGTAATTTCTTTAGTGTATCGTGAATACGGCAAAACAACAAGGGTCACTTTTACTGAGCAGGAGATATAGTAATCGAAAAATGTCTGTATAAACGTACCTATCTTATGTTTTCTCAATCGCTATAATGTCTTATCAGATACCCAGCATGGGTTTAGGCTCTCACGACCTATAGAAACGGCGACTTCTTTTCCCATACATAACAATATAGAGTAGATGAAAACAGACATGTTGCTGGACTATTTTTGACCTGACGAAGGCATTCGACGTAATAATGGATATTTCGTTTATCGTGGAAAAATTGTACTGCTTAGGTATAAGGGTTTTTTATCTCAGCTGGATCCAGTCTTTTCTCATGGACAGAAAATTGAAGACGAAGGTGAATGGTCGTAGGTCAGCTCTATATTCGGTAAATGTAGGTGCGGCACAAGGCTCAGTACTGGCAACACTCCTCTTAATTGTCTATACAGGGTGTTAATAAAGTATGTAGACAAACTTTAACCATCGAATCCTTGAAGAAGACCAAATGTTCATATGAACATGGATCTGTAATGGCTTTCTTTTCGAGCTAGAGCACTATCATTAAAGAAATACTAGTAATGTTCCAAATATTTCTAGGAATAATGAAAAGTATTTATTGAATAGTTGGTATAACCTATGATAAATTTTGCATACTTTACAAGTTGCTGAGGCTCAATATGAACGTGGATGAAAATAGTATTATCCTATATTTTTGGAAAAAAAATATTTAGGTCAATAGTTTTGAACAGTAACAGTCGAACAGAACAACAACAATAGAAAATATCGCATAGATTTTTTACTATAAATGTTCAAAGTTGGCACGAATGATTGATTGATACAGATAAGCGGATTAGTGATAACCGAGGCTAGAAGTTATTTTAGGCGGTAGAAATCTGTATGCAGTATTTTTCAGGAGAGTAACTTTCTTTCTTCGGCTATAGCACTAAAGTCAATCTATCTAAGAAAGTCATTAAATCAAAACAATAACTAGCCGTGTTCAGTGCGTGATCAGCAAGCACATTGTTATATTTGAAGAAACAGGGAGGATAACCCATATACAGGATCAATGGCAAACCAGGAAGGTGGAGTGGAAGTCGAGAAAGCGATGCACGCAGCCTTGCCGGCCGTTAGTGTTAGCTCTGCGTTCTGGTGTCTGATCACGTGAAGTATGCGTGACTTTCTTTGGGTCTAGTTTCTCTCTTTGATAGATGGAACCACGTATTTTCAATTTTGGTGAATGAGCAAATTTGAAGCAAGACACCAGCAACGCAATTATACTGAAAGCGAGTTAGCGCATTCACCTCAGTTAGCAAGTGATTACTAAAGACCGGATTTATAAGCACAAAATTTTAAAAAAAAAGTGCTTAAAAAAGCTTCATATTTTAAAAAAAAGCATCACATTTTGTAAAAAAAGCAAATATAAGTGGATCTTAAAATAATGCAAAATATATTTTTGTATGTATTTAATTCACAAATAAAACAAAATAAACACTTCAAAACAGTAGAAATAAAACTTTAAACACTTTTTAACAGCTTAAGATAAATAAATATAAATATAATTTAATCGTTCTGAAAACAGCTTATTATTAAATACTGTTCCAAATGCTCCACTGTCAAATTATGCCTTTTATCGTCTAAGATATATTTATACTTTGAAAAGCTCCTTTCCACGTCTACACTTGTAATAGGAGCGTATTTAAACTTTGAAATAATATCTGGATACATATTTAATTCTGGAACATTTTCGCCACCTAAAACTGACGATATTTGAACCAGTTTCTGAAATCCAATATTTTTTTCAAAAATGTCTCTCATTCTATTTTTAATTAAGCCGCCAATTTTTCCTGGAACAGTATTAATAGTATTTTTGAAATCCTCTATTAAAGCAACTGAATCAACCAAAGGAACTTGTTGCTTTTCCAATGATTTAATAGTTTTGCTAATGCAACTGAAGTTGGTTTTGATAAAAGCCAAATTGTTTTGGAGCTCTCTATTGTTAAGAACGATCTGACACTCTTGTACTGATTTACTTGTGCTTTCGGAAAATTCAAAAATCAAATTTTTAAAATTTTGGAAATGGTCTGCATAATATATAGCGGCGTCAAGCCATGTTCCCCATCTGGTTAACACTGGTTCTGGAGGCAGTGGAATATTTGGACAATGTTCTCTAAACATTTGTACTGTCAAAGGCGCTTTAACAAATATTTTTTTGCCATTGCTGATCAACTTATTTACTAACGGAAATTGTAAGCGTATGGTTTCGGCAATACGATTGATCCCATGAGCTAAACAGGTGCAGTGAATTAAGTTGCCGTAAAAAACTTTCAAGTTTTTGGACGCCTTAACCATGTAAGAAGCTGCATCTGAGAGCATAAGTAGTACTTTTTCACTTGGTACAGCTTCTGGCAAAAAGAAGTTTGCTAACCCTTTATGTACAAATTTTGATACAGTGTTACTGTTTGTTGTGCTCAATTCTTTTGAACTAATTAAATATCCCTTTGTAGGAACCTCGTGGCACAAAACGCCTATCATTAAGTTTGCAATATACCGCCCACAACTGTCTGTAGTTTCATCAACAGTAAACCATATATAATTGCTTCCAATTATTGTTCTAATTTGTTGAATTGTATCGCGATATACAGGATAAATATAGTTTTTGCGTAAAGTACTTTCATCTGGTATATTTCGTTTGCAGTGTTTTTCCAAAAATTCTTTAAAGTGAGTGTTTTTCAACTTGTTTAAAGGAATATTTGATTTTAACATGGCATTGCAGAGATCCTGATTAAATTCTTGTTGTTCACTACGGCCCGAAGCAGATGCCATGGAAGAACCAATTGTTAGTTGTTTAAGCTTATCAACTTTATACTTCTTCATTTGTTCCGAGTGTACTTTCGTTTTCAGGTGTTGAACTACGTCGTACTTTTTAACACACACAATCTACAATAAATGAAGTAGTTTTTACTTGATGCCTGTATAAAAATTAATGGCTGATGCATCGTCCTAGGACATACAGGAAATCTCATCTCATGAAATTTTTTAAAGTATTGGATTATTTATTTTGTTAGATTAGAATACCTGCCAAACTGATTAGTGATTACATGGGCTCATTCATATTTTTTTTTAAAATCAATTTTGACCTACCTAAAATAAAGTCTAAATAGAAAAAACATGATTGTACAAATGCACAAATATGCACAAATAAATAAAAAGTGTGCATGAGTTCAGCTATTTTTGTACTATTCGCAAAATGTGGCTGAACTGCAATTATTTTTTTAATTGAGTATCATTAATTTATGAATGCAGCTACTAGTAACTATCGAAATCAATGACAGCTTACCTTTGACATTGGTTAGATTAACAATATATTTTTTACAAAAACAGCTTAGCAGAATTAGTGTTGCGAGCAATGGAACATTCCCATTTATTCTCAGAGATCGTTCGCGACTTTATTTGTGACATTTATTTTCAAGAGCATAAATCCGAACCCCAAGAATTTTAACGTTCCCATAGCATTAGCGTTAACATTAGGTATGAACGGTCCTTTAGCAACGAGACGTTGCAACACCGGATCGCCTCGCATTAGGTTGGCTGTCGTCGATCGTTGACACCAATGACATCTGACAGTGTTGGTTTTCGGGGATTTACAGATCGGTTTATTTTATGCTTTCAATTTTAAGAGATTGCATAAGTGTTTTAAGAGATAAGTGGATTGATGTTATTTTTAACTTAATAAATAGAGCACAATTAGAGCGCAGACTTTTTTGATTTCAGATATTTTCCTAATATGTTTCCTTTGTTTTATTTTTCTTCATTTATACTCGTATGTACTGAAAATTTTCGTTCGTGCTCGAGGAACGTTCTCGAAAAAAAATTCTCGAACATTTTACAACACTAAGCAGAATGCATTCAAGTTTGGTAGGTAGGATTAATATGGGATTTTCTATGTGCTCTAGGACTAATCATAATCAATAATCATCCGGTATACCTAATGTTATGAAAAACTTACCGTTTTTATGCAAGCTTGACAAAATACTTTTCCATTTTCAATTTTTAATTCCGGGTTATCCTTGATCCAGACCTTGAGGTTAGTATAATTTACTTTTGACATCTTTGATTATTTACGCACAGTATTAGGTCACCACAAAAAATTATTTAATTATTCACTTGTACTTGGAGGATCGGTGACACGGTATACGATCTGTTATTTATTTAAAATATCTTAACCATGAGCACCCTACTAGCAGCCTAGAATTGCGTATCGCACATCTATTTTTAGAATTGCACGAACACACAAACACTGATCGGGGTTTCACCAGAGAAATGGAGAAGGGAGAATGAGTTTCGAAGAGTGTACATCATTTCAAGGGACCGCCATTTTCTAGGCAACTCTGTTCTTAATGAAATTTTTAACAATGTGAAGTGATAAAACTTTGTGTACTTTAGTGACTTCGGTTCGAATCAACGAGACATTCTGTAAATTCCTACATGTATTTCTACTAAAATCAGCAATAAAGAACTAAAAAGATACTTTTTGACGCTCTTCCGTAAGCTCACAGTAAACAAATTTTCTATACAAAACGACTACTTTTTAACACTCCCAGACAAGTTTTTACTAGAAAATGGCGAAATTTATGATTAGTTCGTTCGCGCATCGAAATAGTTATTCTCCCCCACTCCATATCTCTGACGTGTCGCGTCGCGTCCGTCCCAGTTTGAGGAGCTCTTTTGGTTAAGCCTTTGAATAGGTAGAAAAAAATAAGATATTTAAAGAAAAAAGTTCAAAATAAGCGCAAATTTAGAAAATAAGCTTGAAATTAAGAAAAAAGCAAAAAAAGCACTTTTTTTTGAAAAACTAATAGTTTTTTTTATTTACTTTGTACTTAAAACGGCATTACTTATATACTGCTTACAAATTGGCGTATAAGCAAAATTGCTTAAAATCCGGTCTTTAGTGATTACCACTGGTGCTTGGAAATAATCAGTAGTCATTTATTTGACTGACCGATAATTACGTTCAAACAACTCAGTTAGGTACTTACTTTTCATATCAATTTCGCAGTGTACGCCACTGTATCCCTTTAGACAACTGCAGATACCATGCTTTGAGCATTTTCCCCCATTCAGACATGGTTTGCTACAAGTCACTGCTGCTGAAAACAAAACAAAAGTTATAAATTCACCTGCAGCACACACCAAAATTTACGTGACTCGAGACTAGACTAGTGGTGTGGAAAGTGAGATATTTTGGTTCTTACAGAAAAGGAGATATTTTCTATACCAAGAACAAAAATCATGGGCATGTCCGCAATAAAAGAACATGAGTAGGATTGGTAACCCGAGCGACGTACCAGGCCCAAATGGATGTGCATCTAAAACAGTGAACATATTTCCTTCACATCCTTATTGTAGACATGCCCACGATTGTCCTTTGATTTTCAATACCACTGATTTACAGTTTTTTTGTAGGAATTACATGTGATTTATCAATATCCTCCAGTTTTGTTCTTTACAACTATTGATAAACGTATTCTACCTGAAGATAGCCATTCTAATATAAAATGAACCAATGTAGCGTAATCTATGAGAATTTGTCAAATCAAGGTTTTTTTTCCGCACTAATTAGAAATCCAGTCAAATATATGCTATATGCTAGCATAGTTGGCTGCAGTGCCATTTATGAGACACTAATCTTTTCAAAGTTGATTTCTAATTAGTGCAAAAAGGTGAAACATAGTTGTGACAAACTCTCATAGATGACGCTACGGTATCTCTTTTCATCTGAAATAATTTTTTGGACTTGGCAAAATATGTATAATTAGGTTGCTAATGTTGAGGTAAAATAGGCGAACCAATGCTACACCTGACCTAATTCGAAGAGATACATCGCGTAAATTCGTTCTCTTGTTCAAATTCAAACTAATCCCACTTTGCACACATTGCTGTATGTTCAGGATAATGGATGTTATACGAGTATGTATATAGCTACCTATGCTGTCTGTGTTTTCGCACTGCGGGCCACTGAATCCTGGTAAACAGGCGCAGAGTTCAGGTCTAACGCATTTTCCTCCATTCAGGCAGGGCTTTGAGCAAACAGCTAAAAATTAATAATCAAACGTGAACTATCATTCCAAAATTCTGACGCGTGATTTCTATCTCGATTGAACTATGTATACATAGTCAGAGAACTCATACATCACGGAGTGTTCACTATATATGTGCACGGATGCGTATTCTGCGGTTATAATTATATACAATGCTTTTCAAAAAGTCCTTATTATTTGAACGCGTCGACGGTAAATTTCGGGGGGATGAAAGTGATTCACGAGCAGCAGCGTACAAGTGGCATTTGGAAGTTTGAAGATGATGAATGAACATTTTTTGAAATGGGATGGTTCGTCATGAGATATCTCATTTTGCAGCTCCTTATTACGACTTTATAATGCTGGATCATATATGCACATAGAATACTATATCAGAATGGTTGACTAGCGGGCTGTTAAAGTCGAGTGATTTTGTACATTGAGTCTCTTACAATTCAACAACCGATCATCAAAACGGTATTTTATGTCAATCTTCTTCTACTGGAAGAATCTATAAAAATGTTATAAGAACATTGTATTTTAAAAATTTCGAAATCAGTATTTTTGTTAAACTGAATGTCCCATATTTTTTGCATAATCACATAAACTCTTCCAAAAAAAGAAGATTGGATTGATATAACGTTCTATAAGATTTTGATAAGTAGCGATTGAGTTTACTGTGAAAAAACGCTCAGCTTTGACAATCTGCCTATTCGCCATTTTGGCAGGTACCTAGTAAATTCATATTCTAGGGTTATAAACTACTGATAAGGATCCTTAATTCTATATTAAAGAATGTTCCAAGATGGCGCAAAGTCGTCATCTTATATTTTTCAACTGTTATCTTTACGTTGAAATATAGTAACTGTGCATCAATTTCATTATCTTGCATTTCAGCTAGCTAGCGCTCCAGGTTCAAAAAATAAGTAGGGTGGACCTTTTTGAAAAGCTCTGTGTACTCAAATTGGTGGTGGCAACTACATCTAGACGTTGCTGTATTATTTTTCTTCTTGTTGCTAATGCATGCAAAACATTATTTTCAAGTCTGAAGTGAAACGATGGATGGAGTGTTTAAATGAATGATAAAAAAAAGGAAATTGTCAATTTGCATATCTAAATAGTGGACTCGACTTTGTGCCTTATACGAAGAGTCTGCTATTTACATCTCAATTCATTTAAGTATATTAATATTTACTGAAAGTGCGGAAAGTGTTCTGGAAATATTCCTTGCAAACCATTTTTCGTTTCCTTTAGGATGGTTGATACAATGACAAAATATGAAAAAAAAATTATAAGTTGAATAATTTTGGTCGTCTATATTTTGCGCATGCGTACTAGTATGATATAACAAAAACATTAATTGTACACTAAGGTTAATTGCTGGACAATGAGGAAGTTTCCTATTTTTCAAAAGACACTCAAAATGCTAGTGTATGTAAAATGAAGTACAGCTCTGAAAATTTTTTTTTAATATCTTGAAAAATAGTCAGAAGTTTATTATTTGGAGAATCGTGTGGTGGGCCGGGCGAGTGAGCGACGTCACATGACGGAATCTTATCAGCCCAGCACCACAGCAAGGAGATGCGCCCGCCGCGCCGCGCCACACACGCTTCCCCCTATTATTAACAATGAGTAAAAAGTGGGTCAAACCTTCAACCTACAAATATTTTATTGTACCTAGGTGTACAAATACTAGCATATCAGCTCCAGATAAACATTTTTTCTGTGTGCCAAAACAGGGAAGTATTAGAAAGGTAATGAATAGGGACGATAAATTGCCACTGTCTGAAAAATCAACGTTGTTTTGCTGTGAATCCCATTTTGATGTAAGCAGCTATTTAGCTAATTATTATTAGTCTTAGTCTGTATGAATCGTACGATAAGGTAAAGAATCTAAATGATTTAAAGGAGAACAGAAATAGATTTGATTATTGCTTTCATTTCGAGATAATGTGAGTATTTGTATAGTGATCATCTTAAGGCTGTAGGGGGAACACTGTTCAAACCTTGTTTGCGCCGACGCGGCGATGCATAGGCGTCGGTCAAGTGTGGGCTTAATGTGTAATCATCTGAGAGGTTTCTATGAATTTTAGATTACTGCCAATAGTAGATAATCTGGCATTTGTCCAGTAGCACTTCACGGAAGTGCATGGTGGTTCTTGGCTTCTTCTGTGCAGCCACATTAATAGCGCTACACCATGCTTACAGCCACCCTCTTATGAAGCACAACCACTGCATTCTAGCTTGATTACTGTTTCTTCCCTTTCGTTGCATTCAAAACTGCAATGATACTGTTTGCTTTTAACTCTATGTTCGGGTATAATCTTGGCTTTTACAATACAGATATCCCGTTCTCTTTTTAACTGCACATAACCAATCACCTCGTCTCCATAGGTGTCTCTTCCAGACCGATAATGACAACAGCCAAATAACAATACCCAAAAATGAATGACGAATCATTGATTCTACTCCTGGTTAACAAATGGACATCGTGAAGTGTTACGAAAGAATTATTAAAATGCTGTGAAGTAGTGATATCAAGATGTATGTCAGTTTGAAAATGTTCAAAGGGAAATTGAAAAAATATCTCATGGAAAACCAGAATTCATAGTAGTGAAATTTTGTATAAAAATATGTAGTCTTGAAGACATAATATATTTTGTGGTATACTGTGTAATATGGATGTTATGGATATTGCAGCATTCATGCTAAATAAATCAGAAACAAACAAACAAACAAACACCGGACGGCCTTCAAGTCATATTAGTGTTGGATTAAATTTCAGTTCAAACAGTTGATTTTCTGGTCACTGCGCGATATTGAATTTATTATTAATTTATCAAGCGTATTCGCTGGAGTTTGTGTCATCCTAAATTATTTGATGTATGCAAAGCATGTTTTCATTTTCTTCTATTTATAAAATTAATAAAGCCAAATAAGATCATCCATAATACCCCGCCACTGACAACAAGCCATCCTACGTAAAGTTGATGACTAAAAACAGTTTTATAAGTCGACAGTATGGTATAGTCGCAGGGAAAGGGTTGAAAAAAATGGGTTCACGTTATCAGAGTTGTATAGAATAAATCATACTATTTACTTACTTACGTATTTTCGAACTGACAAAGTGGATTGTTTGTGAAGAAATTCATTACCATTATTATGTCCACCTTCAAAAGATTTGTGGAATCGGCATGTAAAAAACCTTTTTCAATTTTAATTATTATATACTACCATACAACAGTCTAGGCCAAGATTCAAACAATAAATTACGTCTTGTCAACTTGAGCGCTAACGACGTATGCGATATGCCGTCGTGTCGTCCGAACGCTTCACTAGGACGTGCGACGTTCCGTCATGTGACGTCACTACCGAACCTCGACGCGCGAGGCCGATCGGCTACAGCAGTCATCACAGAATATGCCATAACTTCCTTAAATTTAAAGTTATTGGAATAATTCTTGCAGATTTGTCAAAGATACTAGTTATATTATCAGATGCAAGTAATACAGGCAGTATTTTCGACTATAGGAAACTTCCTAATTATGCAGATATCCGTCGCGGGTGGGCAATACTGAGATTATTCATATTTTAACTATAATAACCTGGAAGAGCTAGGCAAAGTTAATATAAAGAGAAAGAGGCAAAAATACTACGATATTCGCAGTAGCAAAAGAAAGCTTGAACAACCGTGACAAAACAAATTCATTCATTTAATGGCTAGACACTCATGGAGGGCATGAAACCTGAAACCCGAAGGAACATGATAATTTCTCTGAAACCTTATTTTTAATTTACATTCCATCCAAAGACGAAAATAATACATGACTTTTATACTCCACCTCCTCTATTACTATGTATCTAGCATCCTTCAACTTTTGTATCAGCCAAATATAAGATATGTGATTCGCCCCTGCTGGGAGGTCTCCGATAATTTGGGCTGCAAAAACGAATAAAACACCCTCCATTTCTTTTCGAGCATCAGGTTTTTGTTTTGTGTTTTGCCGCTCAATGCTCAACGCACTCAGGGACTAGCAGTAGTTTTTTTGCCATACTTTGAACCGCGCTAAATTATCTTCGTTCTGGGTACGTGAAGATCTAATTATTGCCCGGCAGAAAGGCTAACCTGAGATTCTGGATTTAGTGAGTTTTCTGAAGTATTGATATCTATTAATTCATCTTCCACTCAAAAACCAAAAGCATTTGATTTATTTTTACTTCCCACGCCTACTGGCGAGGAAGGAAGTATTCTAATCGCGAAAAGTGTCTGAAATGAGGCATTACGTTTTTTGGATGTCATCACGAAAAACCGTGTCACTCATTCTCGTCGGCCTGTCTATCTCCAGTCCAGTGGCGACACAAAAAAGGCCACAACGAAAAAAGCGATTAAAATCACGCAAACTTCGTTTTTCGACATTTCAGAAGATCCTGTTCATTAGGCAATAGGGGAGGCTGTTTTCCACTTTTTGCTGTTAGTATATTAACGCACTTCCAGCAATGGTAACTCTAGACACCTAGTAGACATATTTCACAAGTCATAGATTTTCCCTGAATTTGCGCTTAAAACGATAGATGTTTTCGATACGCGTCCATAAGTCTGCTTTCTGGCTTTACCGTCGGGCGTGCCAGTCTTCACAAGAATCCTGGCATGACTGAGCTGTGTTGCGCTGCTGCGTTTGACGCGTCATGCGATCAGGTCCCGGGGAGGTGAGACGTTGCCAAGTGGATGGTACTTCGGGTAGGGCAGGGGAATATGCCTATGGACTAATTGTATGAATCTGTTTTACGTTTAATTTCTCTATTATAGATATTCGTAACTTACTTTTTTCTTAGAGGGTCTAACTTAAAAATGCTAATTTTGTCCGCACGGCCAAAGACAGCTAAGTATACAGGGTGTTTCAGTTTATTGTTGCATAACTTTAAGATTCGATAGAACTTTTAAAATTAATGCATAAAGTCTATATAAACATGGGTCGAAAAATGCGTGGCTTCCGAAATACAGGGTGTTTAAATT